TGCAGGATCGGTCTTCGTGGAAATCCTTGGGAGAGGCCTTTGTCCAGCAGTGGACGTCTTTCGGCTGAAACGAACGAAAGCGCCTTTTTACTCTAAAAGGTATCAAATTATGTACCTATTAAAAAAGAAAAGCCTAATTTTTTTTTAATTACTCGCAATATTCAGGACATCTACATAACCAGTTCCATGGTCGGGTCTTTTACCTTAATAATTTCTCAATACAAAATTGGTAGTAGGTACGTAAGTTAGTATCTACTGTACTTGCCACTTGGATACCTTGGTGATAAATACTAAAATGAACTTTGAAACTCTAAATCCATGAAATGCACTATAGTCATAACTAACTACCTAACTAATGTTTGTTTACGTATAGCATTTGCGAACCAAAAAAAATGTATAGGATAGATTAAACTTGATTATACTTTTATCAGTCATATTATTATTGAATTTTTTTTTTTTTGATGTTTACTACCCGCTCTTGTTGTAACGACATAAAACGAGATAAAACTTACCAAATTCAAAATAAATCACTCGAAAATTCGCCACCACAACAAAACAAAACTAACAGCAAACAAACAAGCGAGCGAATCACAACATTGGCTCTGATCGGGATCGGATTCATTCCTCATTCAACGCGCCGAACATGACCGATAACAGCGCGGAAACTTCCGAATGCACATTCGGTTTCGGTCGTAGTTTCGGCAAGTTTGCCACCGAAAACGAAACTAAACCGAAACTCGTGTTTTTACCGAAACTCAACCGAAAACGAAACCGAAACCGAACATTCGGTCGGACACTAATTGCCAACATCAAAAAAGTAAAAATCATTATTCGTTCTAGATCACTCTTTTATTCATTTGGGTATTACTGAAATTAAATTAAATTCTAAACACCTATTACTTTTTGTATGTGATGAGATTAAAAATAATATCGTTTCTCTCGTAGTTATCCAACATCCCTCGCCCTGGTGAGACCGTAGCGCCCACGTACAACCCGTCACTGCCTCTTGAACATTCGCTCAGCAGCGAGCTACGCCGCGCCGCCTCGCCCGCCCTACACGGCCTGCCCGAAAGAAAGGTCGAGGAGCTCGAATGCCTCCGCAAGGAACTAGACAGCCGGGACTCCACCATCACCGAACTGAAAAACCAACTCAAGAACCTACAAACGATAGTCGAGCAGCTGACGAAGGAAAACAGCGTCCTGAAAACCACTAGTAGCGTTGATGACGATCAGAGCATGACGTCGCAGGCGTCGATCAACGACAGTTCAACCAGCTACGCCCTAGATGGCGCTAAACCCGCAGAGAGAGGCAAGAGCCTCGAGACCGACCAACTGGCGCTGGTCGACGACGAAACCGACGCCCGTTTGTCTCTCAAGGGTGCCCAGCGACCGGTCAGTATGTATGAGGCTAGGGAGGGACCAAAGAATAACTGGCAGGTTACTAAACATCAGGTACTAATCACATTAATTTACTAATTAAGTAGATTTAGGCACGGTCACTCTCAATAGTCGCATACGCATCTTTATTATTATTTTTTTCTATCAAAAGTATTCAAAAGTCATCTTCTAATAGAATTTACTATTGAGGGTGAACAGACTTTATAGTAGATTTAATTTTTAAACTTGCGCGTGATAAATGTTATTGTACTTTGCCTACATGACACCACCAATTTGCAATGTTTTCATTTAAAACTAGCTTTCTGTCCGCGGCTTCGCCCGCGTGGAATTTTGTCTGTCACAGAAAAACTTTATCGCGCGCGTCCCTGTTTCAAAAACCGGGATAAAAACTATCCTATGTCCATTCCCGGGACTCAAACTATGTCCCTGCCAAATTTCATCGAAATCGGTTGCGAGGTTTAAGCGGGAAAGCGTAACAGACAGACAGACAGACAGACAGAGTTACTTTCGCATTTATAATATTAGTTGGGATTAGTTGGGATTGATGCAAGTTTTTTACCCTATGAATACATTGTTGGTGTCATGTATGTTATTTGGTGTGGTGTATCATAATAGTAGTGCCAGTCCTCTTTTTTTTAGCTTTAAAATTAACCATAGTAGTTTTTGAAGCGTTTAGGGTTTTAGTTGTTTCAAATAATTTTATTAACGTACTCCGTAAATTGGTGTCGTGTTGTATTTTTTTCGTAGTTATTAGTCTATGGTGGACTGTAATAGAACAACCAAGATAATAAACAGTAATCAGGGTTAGAGTGGTTTATCCTAACGACCTTATCCGGTTAAAGGTAATTTTGAGGGCTTTCTTGCGTACATAATTCGATCCCAATTGTCTAGATATTTTTTTAATCTCATATTTTAGAAAGTGTAAGGAAAGATTAAAGCAAAATGCTTTTTCTGAGATGACTCCATAATGCATTTCCAGCGGAAGGACAGCGACCTTCACCAGATCGTCGGTCCACCTAATGGGAGGCCTGTCCACACTACGTCTTCCGGCTCGTGGTCGCCTCTCGAGAACTTTTCTGCCCCAGCGGCCATCAGCCCTACTAAAGCCTGGTCCGTGAGCACGTAGAATTTTGTCCAATGACCCCAAGCTACCCATCCTTATCGCTCGCGCGTAATGAGGGCTATCGTTTTTATACTTAACAGTTGGCACCCCTGGCGATTGACAGGACCTTCCTCTACAGCGGCACCATCTTGATGAGTGCAAATGCGATAGTCCTCCTACCACTTTCGCGCTCACCAGTTGGTGCCACTGTCTTCGCTACTACCAAGTGACAGGACCTTACTCTACAGTGGCGCTAACTGGTGAGCGCTAAAACGATAGCCCTCATTATATTGCTGTCGCGACTGCGAGCGCTGCGTGAGCGCGAAATCCTACGTGCTCACGGACCAGGGATACGATTCTCGACTGGTACTTACCACTCGTAGTGTTCGAGTGGTTTTCGATCGAACTTTTTCGATTGTGAACTTCTGAGAATGCACAAACGGTGTAATAGTCGAAAAAACCTAACCTTACCCTATGAACGGTCTTCGAATTATTTTTCGAATGTGAACTTTTCGATTGCATGAGAATCGTCCCTCAGGCTTTAGGTATGGCCCTTGCGGGCTATGTCAGTCACTCTGGTTCTCCAGTCGTTTGACTGAATAAATAATGTGTATTGTAAGCGTCAAGTGGTGTTCGCAGTTAACCACGCTGGCGGGGCTGGACCGGTCCCTGACGCAGGCGGTGCTGGAGCCCGCGCTGCCCGCGTCCGACCTCGTGCACCGCCGCGCCGAGCCCGTCACCCGCGCTATACAGGTGCGAGACTACCCTCGTTATTGTCACCGTCATTATAAGCAGAGTAAATACACTCAACATCAAATAAACCGCACCTTCCGCGACGCGAACTTTAAAGATTTTCTTCTGACACAATTATGGTACCTCGACAATATTGGTGTTGAAAGCCCAATAAATATCCTTAAAGAAAAATACATTTAATTTCTAAATAAATGATGAACATATACCATAATGTGACTTGAAAATAGACCTCACTTTGGGCTCACCTCTGGGATCAATTAGACCAATTTTTATGGTTATAAAACCAAATAAAGATCTCACGTGTCCTCTTTAACAGATGGATAGCGATTAATTCCAACTTAACAGTTTTATAGTCATAAAAAATGGCTATAGCGTAACTACCTATTTTTTGAAGAAGTGACTCTGGATCCTTGTAAAGACACATTTTTGGGGTAAAAACCTTTCCTTTAATGAAATGAAGTTTAGAACTAGGCTTTCAAATGGTACCAACGTTGGTGGGAAGTGGGGATGCATACGTTTGATAAGTGCTTGTCGCGGGAGGTGCGATTTATTTGATGCCGAGTGTACAAATGAGTAGGTCATCTTCATAGAAACGCACGGGTGCGGTTTGTATGTGAGCGCGCCAACACGTATGCGGCGCGCACGCACTCACTGACAAAATTTAGCGGGGAGCCAGTCGTGGTTGCGCCGAATTTTGTCAGTGTGTGCGTGCGCGCCGCATACGTATATTGGCGCGCTCACATGCACCCCCCCNNNNCCCCCGTCATAATATAAATTATAGCCTGAGGCACCCCAGAATGGCACCCCCCCTGTCATGACATCACGACCGTCCTTGCCATGCAGATGCGTCAGTGAGTACTAATCTGCGCGACTTTGTCACCCCCTGATGCTTGGCACCCGGGGCGGGCGTGCTTTGAAACTGTGCTGCTTTCAGTGTGCCTCAGCCGTGCTGCAACTGACCCGCGTTTGGTCTGTGGAAGCCTTTAAAGTTGTAAGCAGAACTGCTACTAACTGTGTAATGTGTTACAGGAGCTGTGGGCGGCGGCGCGCGAGCAGCAACCTCAGCTGGCGGAGCGCAGCCAGGATATCCGCCGCTGCGTTCGTGCGTTGCTAGCACTCTTCCCGCAGGTAACTAGACTATGTGTACGAGTACTATAATTAGGTAGATATTGTGGAGTTACTTTGACACCCTTTGTGACCCCTTTTGTCTTAGAATCCATTGTTTTTCATTTGACTCCCATTGGCCCCCGAATAATCTGTAATCTGCCAAAGGCAACCGCAATTCCACGCATATAATATCTCTCCTGATCCTACCGTATGATAGTTAAGTTGGTACGGCCATGGGAAGGTAGAGACGAACTGTGAAAGTCCTTCGACGGTCTATCCATGCCGAGCGGTTATACAAAAGTGGTGTGTGGTTCCTTAGAACTCACAATAATTGTTTATAAATACTCCACATTCGAGTGAACCTAGCTAATGTGTACTGTCTCTTTGATTGTGGCTATCATGGACGACGTGCTGTCACTACTCTGCCGCAACACAGTTTTATTACTAGCGCGGAGGGTAGTTGTCAATCTCGCCTACCAATGTACTTCATAATTTTTTTACATGTACCTTATTTAACATCACGATTGTGTTTTGGACAAATAAAATAAAGTTATTATTATTAGAACTGTCTGGACCCGGAGCTGTCAGCGACGCTTCGCGAGCTGCGCAGTGCGAGCGCAGAGCTGTGCGCAGCGTGTGGTGGGTCGACGGGCGCGCCTTTACAGCGCGTGCGGAGCGCTGCCTACGAGCTGGCCAAGGCCACCAAGCTGCTGCTGGCGCACTTTCCTTCCTAGCGACCGCCCTACCACTACACCACGGTGTAGACGCCTGCGCGTCTTTCGTGGCGTAGTGACGTCGGTCGTTTGGAAACCGTGCGCGCTGTGACGTAGTGATGTGGTAATTTCGATTCGACGTTTGAACTGTAGTGAACGCTTCTATTCAGACCTAAGCGGTATTCGCTACCGTCTGCGGCAGAGAAAACCCAGTGGGTATGCGGTAATAATACTGTTCAGACCTAAGCGGTGTTCGCTACCGTCTGCGGCAGAGAAAACCCAGTACTTGATACTAAATACCTGCGCGAAACCCGCGCGGTATGTACCTCTACCCACAGCGGCAGCGAATATCGCTCAGGTCGCTCTAGCCGCGATACTTGATACTAAATACCTGAGTGAAACCCGCGCGGTTTGAATAGGCCTTTATAACGACGCGCGACTCGAGCTTGCCAAAAGATGAAAGCTGCTTGCACGTTTTCGGTGATATCTAAGCTGCGCGATTATATTGTTTGTTTATTATTTACAACAGTGGTTCTTAAAATGGTCCCTCATGACTTAAAGGTTAAGAACCACTGATTTACAATGATGATTTTGTATTAAACTAAAATGTCCGATGTTGTATACCAGCTGCGAGCAATGTGACTTGCATATTTATCATTTTGCGTAACCGACATCCGTTCTGTTATATCTAACAATCTCAGACGACTTACAAATAGCTAGCTCGGCTCAACTTCGCATTTACCTTTTCCTATGTCGAGATAAACACCCTGATACTTGTATGTCCCGTCGAAATCACGCAATCCAGTGGAGGCGAGACATTTAACAAATACCACTTTTTAGCGATTATGGATGAACTAAGAAGTTGCAGTAACTACGGTACACGAATGCCTTAAAAACCATTTGGAACTTTTATTGTGCGCATAATTTTGGAAATATAAATGCAGCTTCGGGCTCGTCGTACCGTCAAGATATAGAAATATCTTACATTTATATATTTTAGGTATTTTTATTAAGCCAAAACAAGATGTTTAATTACTATTACGTGGCGTATAAAATGTTATAAAATGGACAATGAAGTTAGTGATGTAATGTGTTCAAAATTAATCAAAGCATGACGTATGCGGGGATCGTCTTCCCAAATTATTATATTCGTGTGATTAGTACGGAGTTCCGTACATTTATGTAATTAATGTATGGACACGTCAAGGTAATCGTTCAGACTGCTGAAGACACCAAACATTGGTTAAATAATTAATATTTTATCGCGAGTTAGTTAATTAATCGCGTACTACCGTAATTAGAGGCTATTTTGTTGCATCGATGCACAGTTAAGTGCTATCGTGAATTGCCTTGTCAAAGGTAGATTTTTAAAATCAGTTGATCTGATACCAGTTGGCTGCTTAAATAATTTAAACATGTTCAAATGTATAAGTTGTCTTATTAATAAATACGGTAACCAGAATAGTATTAATATTTTCGAAGTTATCAAATTAAATATTGATTATTATTGGTCTCGGCCCTAGCCGAAGAAAGATTTGTTCGAACGAATCAAAAATTGTTCACAAAAACACCAAACTATAGCAAATTATTATATCTAAAGCTATAATGATCTAAAAAGTAAACTGCGAGTTATTGGCTTACTGCTTATTAATATAACTAACGCATTGCTATTTAGATAATAAATTAACGAGTTCAAATTTTTACGTAATTTTAATTAATAAGGATAAGTTGTGATTGAAATTTTGAGTGAATAACAGACATGCGGGCGGTCAAATTGTTAGTGACTAATAGTTATAAGAGATTGATATAAGCGTATCGATTCTACAAAACTTTTGGAAAAATCTACTGTACAACAACTCAATATCAAACTTTTTGACTACAATATTTTGGAAACGGCTATTCTCCACACATAAAATAAATAGTGATTAAAATGTAATCGTCGATGTTGTGAAATGTATTTATTGTGGTGATATACATATACCAGATTCATTCGCATTTATCGGAGTAATGTATTTTAATGACACACACACTATACTTTTCAACCGACTTCAAAAAAAGGAGGAGGTTCTCAATTCGACCCGTTTTTTTTTTTTTTTTTTTTCTATGTTTGTTACGCGATAACTCCGCCAATTATGAACCGATTTTCAAAATTCTTTTTTTGTTCGATAGGGTACACTTCTGAGGTGGTCCCATTGTCACCAAGTCAGGATCTGATGATGGGATCCTAGGGAAATCGAGAGCAACCCTCAAATTTTATAGGCACGTATATCGTTTTTCAAACTTTTTCTTAAGTTATTCATATATTTGCTCCTGGAAATCATCATCTCATATTGATGAGCTGATGATAGAAGGTAAAACTCCTTAATGCTTAGGAGTTGGAGGATAATTCTTTAAATATTATAAGTACAAATAGACCAACAGTTGTATTCTTTCATGTTTTTAAGGTGGGCTGACGGTTTAAGGTCTTTTTAGGTTTCCTATATGGTAACCTGTATTTTGTAGGGAATATTATTTTACACTAGACATGAAGAGTATGGTCTCAATGTACTGCCTACCTTCAGTGGTAACATCAAGGTAATAATTAGTTAACTAAAAAGCAATAAATAAGTAAAATTTTATAAAAAAAAATAAAACCGACTCCAAAAAACCTACATTAAAAAGTAGAAAAATAATTACTAATAACCTACTTATTTATTAGGACGAATTAATATTTATGTAGGTATACCATGATTGATACTTTTGGAGTCGGTGCAGGCAAACTTTACATGTTTCATAATCTTGGCACCGACTCCAGAAGTATCAATCATGGTATACCTACATAAATATTAATTCGTCCTAATAAATAAGTAGGTTATTAGTAATTATTTTTCTACTTTTTAATGTAGGTTTTTTGGAGTCGGTTTTATTTTTTTTTATAAAATTTTTTAAATAGATAGTTGTCATTTTCCAACAGTCATTAGAAACACTTTTTGTTTGTCCAGATGTATAGAAGATACGCTTCTAACAATTAAAAAACGTATTATTTTAAATAATTTGTTAGGGAGACAAAGATATACACGTTAGTTGGTAATTAGTTGTTATAATTGTGATTGTATTCGTTGTTTACATGTATGTAAGTGCCATCATCAGTATAAGTTACATTAATCCGAGTCTTGGTGTAACCAAAGCTATTCGTGTCGTGTATACGTACTCCCTGCCTGTCACAAATCCGAATATTTCGTTTTCTTCTGATGAGCCTACATTTGACGGAGAGTTTAGCAACTTTTTATCGATTAATTAATTAATTACATTATACTTTCGACTGTGTGTACATTTTTTTAATCCAATATAATTTACTAGATGACTGTCAACGGTAGACACAACTGGTTACAGTTCAAATAAGTACACTCCGTCAAATGAAATCAAATCTCAATATTCTTCGTCATTCCATGCGATGTGTTCTTTATTTTTATATTAAAATATAAGTTAATCATAGGGTATTCATTGTACTACTTTTGTAAGGTGATTGTTTTCTTTTACTTCACTTTTCCAAGTTCTATGGTTGTTCCGTTAGACGTAAGGCCCGGTCACACACTGCGGCCTACAGCTATTGTGAAACTAAAGTTGGATTCACACCTTGAAGATGTGCTTGTACTCAGACTTGCTAAAACATGCAAAAATGTTCGTGATAGTACACCTCATACGTGTTTCTAATATCGATATGCTATCACAAATAACTGCAGTTTGTCTACGTAAAGTTCGGCAAGCAACGTGATCTACTGAATTAGTAACGATATTTCAAGCAGGCAGTGTGCGACCAGGCAAACCTTCCATAAAATAATATAAAATAGAGGTGCTTTATATGTAATAGGTTTCCTACGGCCCAGTGCGCATCTTGTACCCAGTACACACTGAATTTGATAAAATCGTGCCTAAAATGTTAAAGTATATTCATACCTTTATTGTTAGATCGTACCTAGATAAGTTTAATACATTTACAATACTGTATCAGTTGTGTAGATTTTTATATGAGCGTTTCATAATCTGTATGTTGATAGATACTAATTGTATAGTTGATACGATGTGAAATTTAACATGTAGTTTATTAAAATTTGTATTAGCTTTCGTATGTGACATGTTTAGTATTATTATACGTATTATGTGATCACTTTATGTGCCAATGTTCGTAAAAGAAAAGACGTAGGTTAGTGGTGAGCACTAGCGTTGGTTCCTGTTTCCTTTGCTCCGAGCTTCATCCAAGCCCCGACACCCACACTGATGTACATTTAACTTATTAATAGAGACAAAAAACATGGTCAGTATAACTTAGAAGCAGTAAGCTTGAATAAATGGCTGTCAGTTTTGTTATAACGGCGTGCCATCAACTCAACCGTATCAAAACAGTTTTCTCACACTCAATAATCAAGATCTCTCGTTTACACCGATCATGCTTGAGAATATCACAGCACCGACACTTTAAATTGTGGAAACAGGATGTCTACTTGATTCATAATATGAACTTTATTGGAATTGACATATTATATTGAAATTATATTAATTTTGAGAAAACTAAAATTTATTTTCTTATCAACACAATCCAATCTTACGGTGTTTGTTCCTATCGACTTTTATGCCTAAAGGACTTTTTATGTATGGCGCGAGTAGTGTCATCTTCCCGAAATTAAATTGTAATCATATAATATTATTATGGACAAGTGAAAGAGACACGTGACAGTGGGCGTGGCTGTGCCTGACCCCTGCCCGCTGACGTGTAGCCTGATATCGATACTTGCTGAAATACAATGCGTCATAAATAAATTATTATAATAAAGGGAAGTCAAAACCGGTAAAAAAAGATAAAGTTGCAAACATTAGAATTTATTGTTATATAAAATTTACATACTACACAATATGTGTTTATAATAATAATAGCAATCTGATTTAATGACAAAATATATTAAGTTTCATTATTAATATGGCCTCGATTTAGTTTTGTACGTACATCGCAGTGAACTTGAAATGTATCTTGTAAATACACATAATTACCATAAAAACTAACGTCTAATTGACAAAATCGTTACAAAAACAGCAACTGCAATAATTGCCGTTCCCATCGAAGTTTATGAGTCAGTGAACAATAGGATACTGTGCTCAAGGCTGCGGGCACTCCACAAAAAATAATTAACTTTGGCATAACTAGTGTTTTTCGAATAACACCGTTCTATAGCTAATTGCGTATTACCATTACGGAGGTCCCTTCTCGACCGTGAGTGGTCCGAAGGTCGCGTACGGAGCGAGGGCCTGTATACTATGGAGTTTCTTGTTACAAATATTTAGCACCCATTTGTATTTAAAAGTACCTTAAATTTAAAATTGTATTAAATCAGAACTATGCAGTGGCGTANAAACCCTCTCCACGGCCAATGGCTCGTTACCCGCAGCCTTCCAAGTCTTTAAAAGGAGTGCCTCAACCAGTGTAACCCTATCAAGGCTTACGAGCTGGATGCGCCTATCCTTGTACATTCCAGCCGTTCCTTAACTGCGGTTGCTGCACCTCTTCCTGGCACTCTCCTGAACGACTCTGTGTTACCTAATGTGGCTGCCCCTCTTCCTTGTACCCTCCTGTACGATTGCATTGCTTAGCCATATGCCTGGTCCAAGGTTCGACGCCACAAAATCAACTTCGTACGCGCGAAAATAGTTTAAATACTATTTTCCGTGCTTGCAACATTTCTTTACTGCTTCGCCTCTATTAGTCGTAGAGTGATTGTATATATTTTATAGCATTCCTCAATTTATGAGCTATTCAACACAAAAATAATTATTTCAATCAAACTAGTAATTCTTGAGATTAGCGCGTTCAAACAAACAAACAAAAAACTCTTCAGCGTTTTAATATGAACTTGTTGTTGTTGATTTTTGGCGTCGAACTTTAGACCAGGCATACGGCTAGGCAACGTAGTCGTGCAGGAGGATACAAGGAAGAGGGGCAGCCACAGTAGGTAACACAGAGTCGTTCAGGTAAGTGCCAGGAAGAGGTGCAGCAACCGCAGTTAAGGAACGGCTGGAATGTACAAGGATAGGCGCATCCAGCTCGTAAGCCTTGATAGGGTTACACTGGTTGAGGCACTCCTTTTAAAGACTTGGAAGGCTGCGGGTAACGAGCCATTGGCCGTGGAGAGGGTTTGCACGAGAACGGTTTGTTCAAAACATATGAATTTGGTCTTATTTAATGCAGGATTAAATGCCCTTCAACCGTCAGGAAGACCACTTTTCGATAGGGTAAGTCCTTTATGCGGTATAAGTAACCGGAATAACGAAAAAGCGCCCCTTTCGGGGGCCCCCACCACTTAAGCACAACTCCGTCGAAGTCGAGAACCTAGGAGAGTCTTTATGGGCAACTAATGAAGCCATTAAAGCACTTAAATCTTTAGTAGGAATTATTTCCGATTTAATTCATTTTTGTGTTTAATTCTACTGGCCTATATATATAATTTAAGATAATATTTACTCTCAATTGACAAATAAATACTTTAATACTTGTTATTATTGTTTATTGTTATACACCTAGTGTTACATAATAAAGCTGAGCTATTTAAGAAAATCAAACTTCCTGTGGGTTTCAAGCAATTGCTTCTCTTTAATGTATTTTCCTTCTGAAGCAGTGCGTGGTAGTTTATTTTGACTTTCAACAAATAAGGTGAATAGTGTACCTGAAGTCCATTCAATATAATATATAAACTTTAAAATATTTATAATTAAAATAAAGGGCGGCGAATTTCCGGACGGCCCCGGGCGGCGAAAAGCCACGCTACGCCACTGGAACTATGTAGTTGGAAAGTGCAATGAGCATGATATTAAATTACTGACTTTTAATGCAAATCGTTGTCGTCGAAACAGATATTGACTGTCGTGTGCACTTACGCTGGCCACCGTTTCACATTGCTCTGGCCTGGGTTCCGACACTTGTCACCAAGTCGTCGCGAGTGCTTAGCAGCAGTTCAACAAGTTGGCAAACTAAATTCCGGAGCTATTATTTGCGAAGCTTTCTGATTCTAACGTTATTTCATCATAGTTTATACAGGGTGTTAAAGTCGCGAGTCTGATTTCGTGTTCTACGCATGATCATGATTGTTAGTAGAAATACATCTAGACATACTATGTAGGCAAATGTAATGCAATTAGGGGAAAGCGCGTAGGGCTTCACCCTTGCGGTGCACCCTCCTGTGTCGACGAGGAGGGGTGATCCTCTCAGCGCGCCATAACCGATTTTGATGCGCATCAACACGTCTGATGGAAGGAATATTACAATTAATAAATCAGTCATTTGGTAATAAAAAGAAAGCCGAATTCAGTAAGTACTTCTACTGAAAGTTGATTATGCAAAAAGAAAACTTATGAATACTAAATCAAGCTAACAAAAAGAAATCCGTAGCGAAGTTAGTGGTCAAATACTAGTTTATCGCGTTTATGCTAATGGCGGCTGTTCTGAATTGTTTCGTGTCAGCACTCAGCACCGTTTTGCATATGAAAACAACTAAAATTGTTTTAGTCGAAATTTTTGAAAGCTAAGCTGCCCGTTATTGGCAATATTTTAAGTGCTATTCTAATTTTCCTTCTTATTTATAAATAATTCTTTAAAATATCTTAAAGAAAAGCTCTCTCGTCGTTTTCGTTATTTAAGACTTACATATTCAAACGTAACTATGTCCTGTTCAAATATGGCGACCATCCAAATACAAAATACCAACTAAAAGTTATTGTTACCGTAACACCACCCGTATAATCGGTTGGTGGTAGGGCTTGTTCTAAGTCCGCCTGGCTAGCTACCACCATCTTACCTAAGTCTGTCGCCATAACAACAATGTTAACAGCATTATTGTGTTCCGACAGTTAGAGGTAAGATAGCCAGTTCCTCCGTGGTTGAGGATTCCGGGTGAAGCTCGCTTCCACCTTCGGCCTGATCGTCACTTACCATCAGGTGAGATACAGGTCAAGAGCTTCCTCGTTGTGGAAAAAAAAAAAAAAAAAAAAAAATAATCTAAAACGTCCGCGTATTCACGAGCACTTCCAGATGCATATAGCCTGGTTCCCTCCAAAGTACATGTAGCATATCGTGGTGCACTCGTAGGTAATTTCGAAGCCGTAGCTCTCGCCGACGACCACATGGAAGGCGGGCCCGAACTTCTTGTCCATGGACTCCTTGACCATGCGCGCGGCCAGCTCGTTGTTTTGCGAGAACTTCTCGCATGCAGTCACTGAGAGCTCCATCGCTTCGATGCGCATCTCCTCAGACATGTCGGAGTGCTGTGGACAAGGACTGACGTCATTAAGGGTTTTCCGGCCGTTTTCATATTAAAAATAAGGATCTGCCCAATCAACGATTTGTTGGACGGTTTATTTAACGTTTCCAATAGAATTAGGCATCGCATCCATCTTCTAAGGGTCACAAAGGGTGCTGTAATAATAGCTACCTTAGTAGTGAAGGTTTATTCACATTAGTAAGCCTGTAAGCCCTACCTACGTGGTCTGCGATGTGATGCTATTCTCGAGTTTCTATAAAACTTGACGTCCATGCACCATTTAGGAAAAAATGGTAGCTACTTATTTGTACTTAACTGTAACTACGGCCCGAGGTGAATAATTAAAAATGAATTGCGTTTTACCGTGTGAATAGTATGTAGGTTATTATTAGCCCACTCAATTGTTTTCTCAAGTCAACGTGAAGCCGACTGAGAAACACCAAAACGATGACTTCAAAATTTATCGTGGGAGCTCGTTGCTCCATTAGCTTCTGCCCAAGTTTAGCAAAAAATTAACGGGAATTAATTAGCTAATGTCGGTATATGTATTGAGCTTTTAGAATAGCAAATCTTCAAGCAAGCAGAAAAAGAACCTTTTGTTGAGATAGCTTTGGAACGCGTAGTTACACAAATAGGGATCAGATAAGAAGTTTGATTCATAAATATCCTCCCGATTGAAAGGAACAGGCGATTGATTTGTGATTGTAGGACAACAGTGGCTTGGATCCATCTGCCAAAACAAACAATACCGGAGAGAACACGCAACTGGTCGCGGCCGTTCAACTGTTTATTCAATTACGCTCACTGGAACCCGCAATGCTTTAATTTATGAAATGGTTTGTGTTTATGTGACCGCTGTGATTGCGGCATCAGAGTAATCTTAGAAGAACAAAATCTAAGTTAATAGGTAGGTAATAGGTTAAAGTACTATCAACCGCTCACGCCTCCTCTCTGCTCTTAGGTGGTGTGGTACACAAAACATATGTTCTGTGGTGTGGTAAGTAGGTACGCACCTATTATTCTCAAATCGTCAGGGAAATCGCTATTTTATGTCATCACACGTAATTTCTAACAAAACACGCAGTTTGTGAAAGTGACCTCCCGAATACGAATTCTAAAACAAATTAACACAAAATGAAGTTTGTTTTGTCATACGGCTGTTTGCAGAGTTAAACGCATTACGGCACTCTCCGTGTGAAGTGGCCAACTATTTATCATGACAATTATGAGTCGAATATTTAATCATGGTTAATTTGGTGTACAAAAAGCTACTCCACTACTAAAATGCGCTTTAGTAGTTGGGTCAGCATGTCGCTTTGCGGAATCGGAAGTCACGTGACTAGCAAAGATCCCTCCGTAAATGTGGTTAAAGTTATTAGAAAGATGTGGCGGAATGAGGTTTTTCATCTTAGCCACAGGCATTGACGGAAACCCGATATCCCTGGACGGCTCATCCTGGCCACTTCACCTTCGTCTGCCGGTGCCACCGTCGCGCAACACTGCGCGCCGACCCGCGGACCTTGACGTGTCCGAAATATAACACCAAACTTGGGATAACGTTACAAAGTTAACTTTAAATAAGTAAGTTAGCTTTCTAAAATGAATGATTTTATAAGAATAATCCTAGATAATGTGTATTTATTGAGCCTGGTTAAAAAGCGCAATCAAAATCCATAACAATGCGTCCACGTCCACTACACCGTGAACATAGAATACCTATAGGTAGGATGTGGTGCCTAGGTAGGTACCTAATGCCTAAGTTTATAATAGAGGCTAGACGGATAATGCCCCCAAAGGGGTTGGCAGGTGCAGTGGTAGCGTAGGTAGAGCGTCGCAGACAATATTATTTTGAAATTTCACCTTAGTAAACAAAGCAGAATTCGGGGAATATTATAAAATTATGTTACGTTAATTTAGGTATGTGCTTAACTATAAAATACAGACTTTGCTGATCATCTCATCGTTCCACACGAATAAACAATAACAAACCCTCGTTATGTAACTAAAGTAAATAAATAAGGGTGCATTATCTTACCCTGATTAGAGGATACGTGTGGATCACTTTCTCGCCGCCCGCACCGCCTGCTCCTTCGTCAGCCATTCTTCATTCACTTCACTAACTCACGGGCACTAGGTATTAGAAATTAATTTCGTAAATAATAAACTCGGAGCGATTGCAAGCGTAGCGCGCGTCGCGACGTCTCCCCGCTGTTTACTCGTTGCCTTGGATACCGACGGAGGCGGGAAGATGTGATTGATTTTTCTCGTCGCGTGTAGGTGTAAACGGCCAGCATCGGGTGATGTGCGGTCAATGCGAAATGGAAATGGCCACATCAAGTGCATGTCTGAGGTGCATGTGTAGGCGGCAGGATTGGATTTCTTATTTTTTATTACAAATACTTTATATTTTTTAAAGGTCAACTGTTTATTTAGTGTAGGTATTTAGATGTAGGTACTTACATACACTGTTGGTCATTTGGGTCATCCTATGGGTGGACCAAGAAGGGAATGGTTTCCTATCTATTGTTCCCACTGCTGCTACTCCTAGCAAGATATAAGAACAATGTATCATCAATAAAACCAAACCAGTAATACCTATTTAGGTGCTTTTTACATTAAATTAGTAGGTTTCTACCATTTCCTACCGACTGAGATGAAGGACCTAGGTCTAAGTGGCACTTAGCTGTTTTTATGAAAATGTTGTGTTGTTAGCTTTGGAAAATGATTGTATTGTTTGTAATTTGTACAAAATGGAAATAAAAAAGATTGTTCCGTTCTACGCAACATGACTGTAATAGTTGGCTCAATTATTTACAATCCAAACATCTAATTATAAAAGCTAAAGTCAATACTGACAGCTGACAAAATCAGCTGTTTTTGTTCTGTTCATGTTGTTGATGTGTTGTTTTTTCATTACAAAAATATTAATTATTACCACAAATAACTATATTTACTCAATAAAGACTAATCAGAATCATGACTTCTAGATTTAGTGGTGCATTACAGTTGACGGACCTTGATGACTTCATTACACCATCACAGGTAAGTAACCTAAAACATTGTATAGCGTGTTTAATTTCTTTATCTTCGTCGTCGTTGGTAAAGTTACGTCGTTGAAAAAAATTTAGGCCTTACAGATTTCATTTTATGAACCTAATTACTAACTCCTAGAAAGTTTCCAAATTGTTATTAATTGTTACACTGTAATTATTACGTGTTTTTGTTGTCATTGTCACCTACTTTAACAAGGCCACACGTACCTATATTTGTACGTTTACGTTTGATGTTATTACTTATTGCTATTATTACAACCTAAAACTAACAAATTATTCCAGGAATGTATCAAGCCTGTGAAAATTGAAAAAACAAAAAGTAAAACAGGTGCTAAGATCAAGATAGGTGAAGATGGATACTTTGATTTATCAAGTGGCAGAGAGCAGAAACTGCAGAAAGTGGAGATCACTCTTGCAGACTGCCTCGCGTGCAGTGGCTGCATCACATCTGCTGAGAGTGTGCTGGTGACGCGCCAGAGTCAAGAAGAGCTCTTACGGTAAGTTGACATAAACTTACAAGAAATATAATAATGCCGACTTTGTATTATACTAAAAGGCGAGGCGAGTTGAGCTGCATACAGTACTTAGTGATTATTGTAACTAAAAATATGAAATTTTTGGTGTTTCCAGAGTATTCTCAGAACGAAAATACACAGATAGCAAAGGTGTGACCAAGAATGTCAGCTTAGTAGTAATTTCCCTATCCCCACAGCCAGTGTTATCCTTGGCTGCTCGTTACAAGCTGTCTCCTGAAGAAGCTACCTCCAAACTGGCAGGTAATCTATTTAATCTAGACTGTAAATGACAAACAATAAAGCCCAAAATCACCCTGTTGAGTAAAAAATTTCACTGTGTGTGTTTTTGTTTCATTTTAGGCTACTTTAAAAGTTTAGGAGCAGATATGGTGTTAGATATGACAGTGGCTGAGGATTTGTCACTGCTTGAGGCTCAGCAAGAGTTCTTGCAGCGGTATCAGGACCAACAAAATGATCCCACATCTAAAAACCTGCCAATGTTAGCAAGTTCTTGTCCAGGTGAATGCTAAAAAATATTTAAAACTTTTTAAATGTCTTTTTACACTGTTTTTGTTTTTTATTTGTACTTATGATTAAAAACTTTTTCAGGATGGGTATGTTATGCGGAGAAAACACATGGGTCCTTCATATTGCCTTACATTTCCACCACCAAGTCTCCCCAACAGATAATGGGCTCACTGGTCAAGCAGTATCTGTCAAAGAAGAAGGAAGTGACCCCTGGGGAGGTGTACCACGTGACCTTCATGCCCTGCTACGACAAGAAGCTGGAGGCCTCTAGAGAAGACTTTTACAGTGAAATGTTGAACTGCCATGATGTTGACTGTGTTATAACTGCAAGTAAGTACACAAATACGATTCTTGAATATAAAAATAGTAATTCTATCTTTCTCAACTTTCTCTGTATTGAACATGTCATTGTACCTGTGTTGTTGGAAGTCCTTGTCATTAACAAGATAACAACTAATGAATATTAATTCAAAGAATAGGAAAGAAAAATATAGTGTAGTGATAAGATATAACCCGATCGAGCAATTACGCACCTCACTGGAATGCGACTCTTCCCTCCCATTTATCTGCACATCTCCCCGCGTTCGCCGCTTCCATACCAGAGCGTCGATGTGACGTCACGGTCGCCAGGTACGCAGTTAACTCGACCAGGTTGTAAAGGTGTTATTTGACAACACAGCACATTAAACTGCGTTTTTTCAGCAAAACAGCACCTTTAGCCAACAAGATACCTAATAGACTAAGAACTAACTGAATGTTTGTCAGCGTATGCTCCCAATATAGGTTAGAATGTTGGTGAATTATGAAGTTTGTGTCATCGCGGCTTTGGCAGCTATCTTTGGGAACATATGCTGACAAACTTTCAGCTTTTATAAAATGACGTAGGTCTGGCGTTCACTAGCTCTTAGTCCAAAGTGTCGTTGTGTTGATGTCTGCACTATTTTCATCAAATGTCTGAATTTATTTTACTAACCTAATTCATATTTCAGTTGAAGTAGAACAAATGCTGGGCAACAGCAACATGTCTCTATCAGACGCCACTGAAGCCGCGCTGGAGTGGCCGTGGGGCGAGGGCGATGGCGCGGCCGGGGTCAAGGGCCGCGCGGGCTCGGGCTCCGGCGGCTACGCAGACAGCATCTTCCTGCACGCCGCTGAGCAGCTGTTCGGAGAGACTAACGCGCAGCTGGTGTATAAGAATCTCAGGTAACACTACTGTTAATAATTATGAAAAATCTAAAACGTTAAAATAACGGTATCGTTGTGGCCAATGAGATGCTGTCATAGTGACATTGACAATACGTCAATGTCACACGAGAATAAAACGTCAGAATAGAGGGACGCGCGGAGACGACTCCTAAGGCTAAGTGATGAATTGTATCTAAAATAAGGCAATATACTGTGAAAGTTAAGTATCCAGTGTTTTATTTATGAGAATAGATCGACCGGCCTTTAATACTACCTACTGCTACTAGTCTTCCATTTGTTAGTGGTAAATTAAACAGAGTCTTGCTGTGTAGTCGATCTCCTTAATGATGTGACAGTAATAATATCCCTAAGAAGACTACGCAAACGTTAAGCCTAGGCGCAGACCACCGACTTTTAGTTGGCCGATAGTTGGGCCCGATTCTAATTTGTATAAAGCTGTCTACTCACGGACATTGCCCGCGGGCGGCGTGACCGGAGGGAGCGGCGAGCGTTCGGCGAACGAACGAGCAATGTTCGGTTCGCGAGCGAACATCGAAGAAGACGATCCTGACGCACTCTCTTCAACGACTGCACTAAACGGTCTCGATAATCTTGTAAATTTATACCGAATAGACAATTGTTTTCATACAGTCCACTCTTTTCATTTATTAACTTCCACTACACTCACTATCGAAGTAACAGAAGCATCGGCCGATACCAAATCGGCGTAATGTGCGCACCTTTATACATGTCCATACTGATTACCAGCCCGGCCCAACTATCGGCCAACTAAAAGTTGGTAATTTGCGCTTAGGCTAAATACCCTGCAGTGACGCAATGATCTCCCCTCTTAGATTAAAATATTTTAGGGTGGATACAGAAACCTTGATAATTTCCGTTCAACACACTATTAGTGAAGCGCCATGCCTACAAAAATCTCAGGTGAAGACAAGCTCTAGCCTCTAGGACTAAATAAATACACGCAACGTCTCCCTCTGCCCTTTCTTAGGTTTCGTTAATAGGTTTTTTGTCAATTTTATTGTGATCAAAAGCTATAAAGCCTTAGTATGGCAGGCTATGAACGTAGTACGCATTTACCAGTGCAGGTACGTGTCCAATGGAGATGTTACAAAATAGCGCAGTAAAAACAATGAGTAATCATTCATATTCATGTATTGTGAAACTGAATGAACCCGAAGATGAATGCGTTTAACCCTTAATTGTTTACCATTGCAACATTAGCATTACAATTATTTGAATTGATACCTATTTTTTAAACTTCAACTTTAAGAAAATAATTTCAATGCCTATAAAAGTAATATCTTCCGCGTTTAACCATTTTCGTGACAAAAATAAGTCTATCTACGCTATCTATATATTTCGCCCCCACATAACACTATTTCATAAAAATAGCTCGGTATAGATGAAACAATGTAACAAACTACATAGTTCGGGAATAAATGACGCACTGTAAATTGTCCAATGATTTATTTATTTGACTAAAATAATATTGTTGTTAATTTCAGGAATCCTGACTTCAGAGAAGTAACTTTAGAAAAGGACGGCAAAGAAGTCTTGAAGTTCGCAATCGCGAACGGGTTCAGAAATATACAGAATCTGGTGCAGAAGCTCAAAAGGGGGAAGTCGCCTTACCATTATGTGGAAGTCATGGCGTGTCCATCAGGTAAACTTTTAACCGTTCAGGTAAACTTTTGACATTTTATAATTTTTATTAAATTTGACTGTTTGACATTTTATAAAATTGACATTGTATTTATTTGACATTTAGAAATTAATGTATAATTTATTACTATTTAATTAATTTTTAGTCTGCACTCTGTATTAATTTTAACTGTGGAAACTTTGCTGATTTCTGTCCTATTTTTTTGTGTGATTATTTGTCTGTATATCAAAATTGTTTGTTTCCCTAATATCAATAAATAAATAAATAAATAAGTTATGCAATAATATTAATGATTCATCAACATCATCATCATCATCCAGATCATTTCATCAGCATCTACTGCACAAAGGCAAATAGAGGGTTTGGCCTGCACTCTCTAACCTATGGAGAGGCGAGTGGAGGAGTTTAAACGGCTATTTAGTTAGATTTAATTGGAATGGCGTAGACTTTAGAAAATTTATAGATCTAAAGATAGATGTACAATTTTTATTTGGTCAGGCATTACTGAGTCATACCGTTTTCGAACCCAAATGTTGCCATATCGAATCCATGTTGCCGGGAAATATTGCCCAAAACTTTTCTTATTAAAGATCATTTTCCCACTAACTCTAGGTTGCCTGAACGGCGGTGCGCAGTCCCGGCCCGTATCCGGCGAGAGCGGGCGAGCGCTCGTGCAGCAGCTTGAAGCGCTTTACGCAGCGCTTCCTCGCGCCACCGACCGCGCCGCACGCCGGCTTTACGCTGAATGGCTCGACGGCCGCGACTCTGACAAGGCAAAAGCAGTGCTACATACAGCCTACCATGCTGTGGAGAAGGCTGATATCGCGCTCAATATCAAGTGGTAACCAAGACCGTCTAACTACTAGGGCCCTGGGCATTTAGTATTTTAGACACCCTGCAACTCTTACTTTACGCCGCGTGCCGGCTTTACGGCTGCGATTCCAATAAGGCGGTTAAGGCGGTGTTGCATACAGCCTACCATGCTGTAGAGAAGAACGACAGCGCTCAACATCAAGTGGTAGCTCAAACCGTCTTATTTACTAGGGCCCTGGGCATTTAGACACCCTGCAGCTCTCGCTTATGCCGCTTGCTGCCTATACGCCGACTGGTTTGATGGCCGTGCTGTGACTGATAAGGCGAAGGCAGTGCAGTCTACCATGCTGTGGAGAAGGTCGACATAGCTCTCAACATCAAGTGGTAGCTCAAACCGTCTTATCTAATAGGGCCCTTGGTATTTAGACACCCTGCAGCTCTCACTACGCCGCGCGCCGTCTCTACGTCGAATGGCTTATCGGCCGCGACTCTGAAAAGGCCAAGGCGGCCTACCATTTTGTGGAGAAGGTCGACATAGCGCGCAATATCAAGTGGTAACCAACCGTCTCTAACCTACTGCGCCTTGGGTATTTAATAAAACAGGAGGTCTATTTCCTCGAATTCAGAGATTAGCCATATTAACTGTTAGTATTCACATGTTCTGTTTAAATTTTTATTAATGGCAATTAAATAAATTCATAAAAGTCCGCGATCTTGGGATCCTAGGCAGTTGGCAAGTGTCCAGAGGCCTTGTGGTCGCACAAACTGACAGACGCCTAAATTCAACTTTAATAACTTTTGGAAACGTTAATATACTGATTTCTCATTTTGGTCATGCAATAAGCTGACGCAATAGCAGCTAGCTGCGGTGTAATAATCTTGTTCGGAAAATCTCGCCAGATAGCGTGAGTTATGAAATTCTATCCATTTGAAATGTAAATGTAACGCCCAACAGCTTGTTTTTACTTTTCTCCACTGATAACGGCGAATTGGTGACCTACGGGTATGACGGTGTAGTTTAAACATATTTTTACAATTTTAATTTATCGAATAAGTAAATATGTATAATTAGGTATTATTTATATTTTTATGTGATGAAAATGAAAATCTCCGATTTATAATGTTATAAGAGATAATATTTATGTAACTGCATATTATATTATACTGATTTCAGTCACAAATAAAGGCAAAGCAAGGGCTTGCCTATTATATTCATGATAAATAATTCAATTTATTTATAGTTATGTATTTTATTTATAATTTAAATAATGTTTTATTGACTTACTTTAGTTTCCTTAAGCTTAAATAATGAAATAGTACCTAATTTAAATATTATGCATACTGCAAGTATTCACTATCAATACATAGATATTATTTTGAAGCACCTCTGCGATGTATTGTTACGTTATGTTGTTGTTATTTGTATATTTTGCACATTTGTGCAACCAGTTTCTAAAGATTGGGTTTGAAAATCGCGAAACCTTAGTTCCCTCTCCCTTGCCCATTTATCTTGAGAGTGAGAGGTAAATAAGGTGCCACTTTTTTCAGATCCATCTTTTACTGGCACGGTTGTAAATATTTTGATTGTTTGTTGGTAAAGAAGGAGGAACAATAAAATTGTTGAAAGTAAAACGATTATTTGTATAGCAACTAAGCTCATTAGCGGGTGACAGTGAATTATGCATGCTAATGGCGGCCGTGACGTCGATGCCTACGGAGCTTGTGCACTGTCACCTGGTGCGGTTTAATTCGACGCGATATGTAGATTACCGTATCTAGAATGTGTGAGGACGCTTTAGTAGTCACGTAACGCGGCCGAGACGATCGAGTTTAGATTTTTGGAACTCGTGAACCTATGTTATATTTCTGAAGATTTTTTAATGATGACACAACACAACACAAATATTGTGTTTGTGTTAATGTATTTTGTATAGATACATCATTTTTATTTTTGTATCTATTATATTACATCGAACTTTGCTTGCGTGATTTACTGATCTGTAAGCGCCATCTAGCGTATGACGATGTATATTTTTATATAAGGCAACAGAATGTTCAGATGTGGGTTAAGGATCGAGTAAAGATTAAAATGAGCACTCGTCGAAGTTTTTTTTTTGCTTTACTGAATTGATCACCGGTATCACATGATTTGTATTTAACCAAATGTAACATACATTGTAATGCCAGTTTAAAGAGTCACGTAAGACGTTAGGCTTAAAATAAAATAAAAAAAAACGCACACCTCGTGATAAAACACAATGCGACTAATTTTCGTACAAAATAAAACAAAAAACTACGCAACTCGTACGCAGCGGCCACGTGACGTATTGTGTCGACCGCAGCGCGGGCTCGCGTGACTTTAGTCAGTCGCACCGCCACCGCAGTCGCACAGCGGTTCGCTGTTGCCCAAACATGCGGCGTGTTTACAAAACAACGTTCGCCAGCGCCTGAGCTAGTGCAGTGCGATGGGGGACTTCCGCGCCGCCGCCGCGCGAGCCCTGCTGGTCCTGGCTGCCGCTGGGGGCGCGCTGGGCACCGGCCTCGGGGAATGCCCCATCTACCCCCAGCTGCCAAACTTTGACATCACTAGGGTGAGTACCATTCTTCTTGCTAATTACATCTGGGCAGCCAGATCCACTCTTTAAATGTAATGATTTGAATGTGTTTTTTTTTCGTAAAGGCAAAAAACTGTTGGTGTATTTTGTTACATATTATGTGTCCCTAGAAAAAGCAACATAATTTTCCATAATTGAAGAAAAAAAATCCGGTTTTCGTTTCGGTTTTCACTTTAATTTATTTATCAATAATTTATTTGTTGTTGTACCTACCTTGAAAATATTAGAACAAAGGGATTTATTTGAATAAAGTTAGTGTGTTTGTAATTATTTCATAAATTATTCAATAAGCTAGGTATTATTTGAAAATTTTGATAATCCGGAATTACTATTAAAAAGAAAGTAATGATTTGGTTGTTTTTAAATATTGAAGGCCTGGGTCGTACATTTCCATGAATTATAAATTACAATCGAGCAGTGTTACGAATGCGGATTACGTGTTGGTTCGCATTTCAATGCATGTTTGACATTTTTTTTATCATTAGATACAATAAGCCAGATATATTGCTCGCGCAGTTACACCTCCATGATTCAATAAATGGTCCTTCGAGCCAGATAAATTAATGGCATTCTCAGGCAGTAAAATTCAATTTACTTGCAGAAGAACTAATTTAGTTAGTCTTCTTATACGTGCTAGCCTAGATTATTATGCAAATAGAATACTGAAAAACAATACTCATAATAAACCTAAATTATCTGCTATTATGTTTAATACGAGAACTTAATACATATTTGTATGGCTGGACGCATGGTTCAAGTTGATTTCTACTTGTTGACCTTGAGCAGCGGAATTAAAGGAAGTTAGTCTTTGCAGCGTCGATAATGGTTGAAATGTTGAATATTGGCCGTACCCAGGGTAGAGCAACTAGCAGCTTTTCGCCCTGGAAATCAGTGTCGCTTTGAAGGAGCTAAGTCAAACGATCTGACTTAAAAAGAGAGGGGTCCTATTACAGAAGCTAGGTACGCCCATGAAAGGTAGGGGAGGGCAACTAGCAGCCTTTCGCCCTGGAAATCAGTGTCGCTTTGAATGAGCTAAGTTAAACGATCTGACCTAAAAAGAGGGGGGGGACCTATTACAAAAGCTGGGTAGTGTAGTAGTGGTACTGGTATTGATGTGAAGTCGTAGTATTGCGTATTACTCCAGTTCCGCGTGGTGGGCGGGGCGGGTCAGCAGACGTGGCAGCCGCGCCGGCGCTGTCGACTCATGCGCTTGCGCAGTTGCGTGACCTTCTGCGCCCTCGCTCGCGCCACTTTTATTCCATATTTATTACATGTTCCACTAACTGACTCGATGTTTAACTGTCTTGATACCTGTGAACTTAGATTCTCATCCATCACTATGTCATCGAACTAGTAACGTGTTTTTGGCAAATGGAACTCGATATGTTTAACTGTCTTGATACCTGTGAACTTAGATTCTCATCTATCACAACGTTCAACAACTCAGGCTTGCAACGTTTTTGGCAAATGGAAATTCAATACATCTATGACTGTCTTTAGCTATCGTTTCCTAATTGCTCGGGGTTGTGACCTCTTATGGTAATAATAACATACTTAATTTGTACGATGTTTGCTCTCCATCCAGCTTTTAGCGATTTGTATTACTTTGGTAATGCTGCTTTCGCGAAGTTAACACTCATCGATATGACACTTAACAATTTTCGTATACCTCGTTAGAGCCTTGTCACATTGGCGGATTACAAGTTTTTTCAAAGCGGAGCGGCGACGCACCGGTTCCGTGGCGAATACGTCGCGGATTTGCAACGTTTCCGCCTCGACTTTTCACCTCGTGTTCGCCTTCTTTCTTCGTTTCTTCGTTCTTGCAATCCGCCAATGTGGCAAGTCTCTACAGTCAAGTAAAAAAATATAACAGTTAACAATTCGATGTTCGCTTTATAACAGCTTCCCTGCAAACTATTTCCCTACTGATCCTTTATTATTTTCCCAATTTGTCTTGTTACCTTGGACTGAGGGCTGTTGCAGATGACGGGCACGTGGTACGAGGTGGAGCGCTCGTTCTACCTGATGGAGCTGGCGGCCAGCTGCAGCCAGCTCAACGTCACGCTCAACGAGAAGGGCTACTTCTACATCAGCATCAGCACCGTCAATCGATGGTAATTGACTTTTACCACGTTTTACGATTGTACTATGTAGATCAGCCGGGCTAGGGATGGGCGCCGTGATAAATTCTGATCTTAGATAACAAACGTATGGATTAATTAATAGCGTAAAATCGATGAAATGGCGTGATAAAAGCACTAAACTTGATGTACTAAGTAAGTCGGTAAATAATCAACCTATAAATCATTCCAGGGAGGAAGGATGTAGTGAAGAGTGATGTTAATTTTTGTTATTGACCTGAAATTCATTTCGTTGAATTGGGTCGTTGGAGTACTTACCTAATCCTACTCACTCATCATTCCCAGTTCTGTAGTCTCTCTCAGCTTTCCAGCTGTTACAACAATTAGTTTAACCTAAGAAGGTTAAACTAATTGTTCCTTCACCTGTATCAGGACTGGGGCCAGCAGCATAACGTACGCGATCGGCATCCCGAGCCACGCGGGCGCGTCGACGTTCCGCTACAAGGTGAACAACCGCATGCCCTACCTGCTGGGCCGCCTGCTGCCCGGCGCCGGGCTCTACAACGTGCTGTTCACGGACTACGAGCGCTTCGCCCTCGTGTGGTCCTGCTCCAGCCTCGGCGTCGCGCACTCGGGTGAGCGAGATGACAATACTACTTAATCATCATCTATCTATAGCCGTATTTTACGTTGGCTTGCTCTCGTGTGATCTAGCCCAGCTGAAATGGAATAAGAAACAATCTTCTTATCTGAAGACAACTGATGGGATAATCATTTCAGCCAAAGGACGTCTACTCTACTGTTGGAAAAGGCCTCTCCCAAGGATTCCACAAGAACCGGTCTTGTGCATCACCAGATCATCAATTTACCGAGCGGGAGGCCTGCCCACATTGAGTTTTCCACGTTCTGTTACTTTTTCTACGGTCCTTCGGATATCCTCACTTCTGATAAGATCAATAGGGAAACTCCCAACTTACCACTCTATCGCTCTTTGGGTGACCTTGAGCCTTCTTATGAAGCCCATAACGGGACTATTCCCACCTCTCGTTCCCATAGCTGCAACTCCTGAGTACTGCCACAATAGATCAAACCTGGTCGAGTTGGCGCAAATAAAGGCCCAAAAAACCAACTCCTGAGTATCCAGGATCTACAGTTTAATAAAAACCAAACCAGTGAAGGTCAAGTGCGTTCAAGCCTGGATGAGGCGGCGCAGGAACGGTCTTTGTGGAAAGCCTTGGGGGAGACTTCTCCAGCAATGGACGTCTTTCGGCGAACGAAGGTCAAGTATGAAGAACTATGTACTAACTGTTTCAGATCGCATGTGGGTGCTGGGCCGGCAGCGCGAGTTTGGCGCGGCGCTGCGAGCGCGCGTGTACGCCATTATGCAAGAGCTGCGCCTCGACCCCGACCGCCTCATCGTGTCCAAGAACCACAACTGCACGCGGCCCCCCGACTGACAATACAACTGTTTACTTTACAGGATCTTTTATTAACCTCGTGGTCTCCCCTGTCAGCCTCGTACGCTACTACCTTCACAAATAGGACTGGCGACATTATCTCGTAATAGTTTTTTGCGGTAGCGGTGCGGGGTGTGTTTTTATTACGCAAACATCAGAAAATTTCCTTTCAGTTGTGCGTTATGCCCCAAACTATACCATGATAAGTGTTACGTCACAGAAGTCACTCCTACCGCGCATCTCCGCTACCGCAGGAATGTTGTCTTATGTAGTGCTAAAACCCGCTTTAGATAGGGACTTTAGGTTTTACAAGAACATTAAAATTTAAAATAAAACAAACGCGCAAGTTAATCACACTTTCTATTTTTTGAAAAAATATTTTCTATATACAGTAAATATAGAATAAAAGTTAAAAACAGAGAAGTCTCGTTGAAGAACTTTGTTCGCTTAAGCCAAGGAATGCATCGTGTGATGATTGATAAACATCAAAATGTGAACTAAATAAATAATATTGTGCTATCATGTAACAACATAACTAAACATAATAACAGTGCATTCAGATCACAAATCAATCAGAAACAAAAAATATTTAAAAATAATTGTGCTCAGAAAGCTCGTTTTGATAGGATTTATAAGTGCCCCATAGCAATTACTTTAATCTATTTAATTATTATGCAACAATGGTGGAATTGAAGTTTGGTATATCCGGCGCCGCGAGTACAGCGCGCCCGTACGTCTATCGCTTCTATTATACAAGACAATACTGTTTTCACTATTAGAGGCTATAGCTACTTTATTTATTATCATAAACATTTTAAAACAGAGCTCGAGACAATAAATAAACTTAAAATTTATAAGGTAGATTCAAACATTTGGCAAAAATCACATTTTGTGATACCATTATTAATAACCATCAGTGTACAGACGACCGCACATCAACGTTAACACGATTCGTCGTTAATATAGGTGCGATATTGCAACTAAAATGTATTGTATGATGTGCTGTCGACTGTACAAAAAATTGTAAAACATTATTATCTAAAAATTATAACAATAGGCCATAATCTTAGTTTCTATCTTACTAAACACACCAAAAACTTTATAAAATCAACAAAACTAATACAAATCAAATCAAAGATTAATAGTGCTAAACAAAAATAAAGTACCACAAAGGAACTGCGGTTCAATACATAAATTATTACATTTAAAATTATTGCTGTTTGTTAAGTACGTAAAAAGTTACGTTCACAGAACAACCAGAATGGCATCCATCATAATACAATCAGTGGACGATCACCCGCTCGATTAAAAAAAATGAGACAGCTTACAAAGTATTTGTAAACACACGACACGCACACTTACGATCAAAATATAGTGAACACATAAAAATTGCTTTGTGATCACAAACAGTCAGTGAGGACAGTTGGAAATGTGGCTACGCTTGGAGATTACTTTCTCTACTGACAATACAGTTTCTGACTTCGGTTAACTGGAGGCACTCTGCATCACGATTTCTGTAGTCATAGGGTGACGTGGAGGAGACGCTGTCCGCAGGGCTGTCAGCGCGCTCCGATGCGACGCGCTCCGATGCGACGCGCTCCGCTGCGGCGGGCTTCGCGTTGGTGTACTGCTGCATCCACAGCTGTTTCTCCTCCACCTCCTTGCTCACCACCACAAACAGCTCTTTCTCTTTGCTGTCCAGTTGCTCCTTCAAATATGCTATTAGGTCTGTACTCTGAAATACAGTAAAATAAAAATTATTTACATTTTTTTTAAGTTATAAAATGTACACTTATGAAGCAATAAATTATGGCAATGACAGGACTTGTAAGGGTTCGTCACATTTACATAATAAGTGGTTTGTAATAAACTTTTAGTGATTACAATTTTTAAAAATAGTTTCTCTAAATTACATAAACAGTATTTACCCGCCCTATGAGCTGAGGGGCATCCAATTTGGAGTCAAGGTTGTAGAAATTCCCTTGGATCTGGCGAATGGTAATCCAGTGCCTCCGCCGCAGCGGCAGCATTACAAACCCTAGCTTGTAATCGGATGGCACGTTCAGTATGAACCCACAGATGTTTGATAAATCTAAGCATCCTGGGTCTCTGAAATAAATCAATTATTTGGTTAGATTGCCAGTAACACAAAATACTTTACTGTGGATGAAAGCAAGCTCTCTCTATAAATTTTCTAACTAAACAAACCCCAGTAATACTAAAAAATATTTCCAATGTATATGAAAAGTGTACCGACTTACTTTCGTTTATCAAACCACACTGCTTCACAACCTTTCTTCTGCAGAGCTGCCATTATCACATTGATGTCATAATTGCCAAGCCCTAGCATGGAGCGGTGAGGGTTGATCCACACGTTGGGTGACAGTCGGCTGCATATCGAGTCTAACTCTGACTTAGAAAAAGTTCCACGCGTCTGGAAATTCACAGAAGGTCACATATAAGCAAGAAAAATTAACAAGAAGTCTCTTTGTTTATGTAAACAAGGCATTTATTATTTGTATGGAATGCGCGCATGGATAAGATAATATTAATTTTATGTATAAAACTTGTATATCACAGTTACTTGTAAATCTCACCTGGAATAAATTATTAAGCGCGTGCAGAGCACACAATTCTTTAACCTGTTTTTCATGATAAATTGTAGGTTTTGAATTCATTTCGTTCGACTTTCATTTAAAATCGATTCTAGAGCAAAACAACCATTTTACTGCTTGGTAAACACTTTAAATACTTAACCAAATAATATTTAATAATTTAAATACGCAGAATTAATTATTATAAATCGTATTTACTTTTATTGCATTTTGTAAAAATATCACTTGACAATTTTGACAACCCAGCTTGAACCATCGACAAAACAAACTTAGGTCCTACCATCGACAAGAAACTTGCACAGACACTGAGCTATTAAAAACTTTTGTGACATAAATAAACTTTTTTTTTTGAGTTTGACACTTGATTGACAGGATGCAAAAAAAAAAAGCTTACTTTTCTCTATGCCTAAAACCGCCAAAGAATTGAGTTGGAAAACCCCTGTATTATTCCTCCAACTCTATTCCCGAAGCAAGCTCTCATTTAAATACAGCTTTGGAGTACCTGAATAACTGGATGACAGACCACGGATTATCAATATCCGTTCCAAAATGTTGCTGTGTCACCTTTACCCGAAAACGTTTTATTCCAGATGTAGACATATCACTAAACGGCAATAGCATTCCATGTGATAACCAAGTGAAGTTTTTAGGCCTAATTTTAGACACCCGACTAACAGGCATTCCACATTTTAATTATATTCTCGGAAAAGCTGAAAAAGGGTTGAATATCCTCCGAGCCCTCTCAGGTACCTGGTGGGGTGCTCACCCATACTCACAAAAACTTTTGTATAATGCTATTGTTCGTAGCCATTTTGATTACGCTTCATTCCTTTTAGATCCATGTAACAAAGCCGTCCTCGAGAAACTCAATAAAACCCAGTCTAAATGTCTTCGCATAGTATTGGGAGCCATGAAATCCTCACCTATTAATGCTCTGCAAGTCGAGTGCGTGGAGCCTCCCCTCTATTTGCGCAGACAGTACCTCTGTGACAGATTTTACATAAAAGTTTCTCAAAACTCCTCTCACCCGTTAAATGAGAAATTAACACTACTCTCTTCACTTAGCAGCTCTGATCCCTCTCGAAATTTGCCATGCATTCTGTTAAGTTACCAGAAATTTACCCGTTTGCCCACTCCAATTGAAAAAATTCCACTTAATCCCCTTTTCACAAACAGCTTTGAATCCCTACTTTATCAGCCCCCAATTATTTTAAACTTTGGCATAAATAAGGATTCCTGCTCAGCAGGTCAAGAATTTGTTAATATTGTCTCCGAGCACTGGCAAGGCTGGATCAAGATATTTACTGATGCCTCCAAGCTGGACGAAGGTGGCTGCACTGGCGCAGCTGTCTGGATACCTGCGTACAAAATAGCATTAAGTTTTAAATGTCCCCCAGTAACATCAGTTTTCACCGGAGAATCGGTTGCAATATTAGAGGCTATCCGATACTCTATCTCCCATCGTCTTAACAACTCTTTGATTTTCACCGATTCTCTAAGCTGTCTTCAAGCCATTTTAGCTAACCCCTTTAAATCAAAAACCAAATTTCCCATTATCTTTAAAATCAGAGAAGCTCTCTTTAAATGCAAACTAGAGGGATTAAATATCGTCTTGACTTGGATCCCAAGCCATCGAGGTATCCCAGGCAACGAAACAGTTGATTCATGCGCTAAACTTGCTACATCTTCTGGCTCGCTGGATCACTATAGGCTATTTGCCCATGATGCCTCCGCTCTCCCTCGAAATCACTTATACTCATCGTGGAATACTCATTGGGAAAATTCCAAAAGAATGGTTGGTAAATATTACGCTGATATACAAAAGGATATCCCTTCAAAACCTTGGTTTTTTAGACATAAGAACTTACCAAAAAGAACGGTCTCCATCATCTGTCGCCTGCGCCTTGGTCATGCGTGCACCCCTGTCCACCTCGCGAAAATACACATTAGAGATAGCTCCATTTGCGAGTGCGGCCTGGATGAAGGAACAACCAACCATATCTTTTTTAATTGTCCTAAAATTGGATCTTCTTTGTACGATTTTCTCCCTAAAACTTTCCCCCGTCCCTCTAATATTAAATGTGTACTTAACACCATTAGCTGTCCTATTTTAAATTCACTTGCAAAATTCATTAAAATTAACAAAATTAATTTGTAGGTAAGGAAAAAATTGGCCTTGCGAAATTTATTATAACAACCCCCGCGTCATTTTTTTTATTTTTCTTTTTTATTCTCTGTTACATAAAACCACCCCCAACCCTTTCCCCAACCCCTGCTGTACAAAATTTTTGTGTGTTTTGTCTTTTTTGTGTTGTCTTATTCGTGATTGTGATTTGTGACGTCTTTTTTGTTTTAGGTCGATAAGTTCGCTTAGTCTTGTAGAAAAAAATCTTTTTTTTTATTTTATTTTATTTGATTCTATCACTGTGTAAAAGCTGCGCACGTGACATTGGCGGAACAGTGGCGAAAAAGCACAAGTTCATCGCCATCAATAAAAGAAGAAGAAGAAGAAGAAGAGTTGGAAAACTAAAATAAAAATAAAAATTAGCGAATAATGTGTGATATTTTTCAAACAGACACTGAGCTACTGGAAGACACATATGAAGGCCATTTTTCTATAGTAAATAAAACTTCATTGCACCACTACAAAAGTTCGTTACCAAGGTTTGGTTGTTGTTTGAACATACCTTTAAGTTTGTTATCATACAAACTACGAAAATTTAGTAAAAACAATACACAATTGCCCTATTTAAATTTCATTTTCTTGCAGTGAATCTAATTTAACTTCATTTACACTATTAAGTGAAGTTTGTCAACATAGCAAGAAATCTTTGGGTTTACACAGTAACTTTGATCAGTTTATTGAATCTGTTAAAACCTTAACACAAAATGCTGATACAAGTAATATATCATCTTGGAAAAGTTCCCTAAAGTAAGTATTGTTTTGATTTTTCATTGCTCTTTTGATAACCATTATTTTTATGTAATTTTATTTTTGGTATTCATAGTACTTTTACAGACCCTGTATCTTTATTAGAGGAGTCCCTGGGACAGTGTAGGAAATGCGGTCCAGCCTGTTCTAGACCATTAATTGGATTAGATCAGTTCCAAAATGGCAAGTGTTCATGTCAGTTAGACCTTGCAGAACCTAATAATAGAGAAAACAAACAGGACACTAAAGGACTACCATTTGTTAAGGCCTTACACTCGGACAGTTCTAATGATGAATCTAAATCAAGTGAAAATCAGAGACAACCGTCTAAACAAACAAAATTTTGGCAACCAAGATTTCCTTCCAAAACTACAGCCCAAGCAACCACATCAAAATGTACACCGATATATCAAGATGTTGATTTAGAGAGTGAGGAAGAGATCAAGGCCCACAAGAGTAATGTAGCCAAGGTGACGTTTAAAACGGCCAAGGAACAGTTGCTGGCATCAAACCCTGCAGCTAAGAGAACACTTGGAGCCTCTAGGAAAGCTCAGGCTAAATTTGTTTCTCCCATGATAGGAGCTCAGTAAGTTATTCAATACAACTTTATTTCCAGTCAAAGAAATTCCTTCTATTTACTCATTATTTTCATGTCAACAGGGAGAAGCAAGAGACAGCTGAACCTGAGGTTACAGATGAAAGACTCAAGCACATAGACCCCAAGATGATTGAACTTATTGAAAGTGAAATTATTGATAAGGGGATACCAATAGGTATGTAATTCTATATGAAGGCAAAAAACAGCTTTTGTTATTGTATATTCTTCTTGTATTATTTTTACTCTTTTGTCTGTTACAGGTTGGGATGACATTGCTGGCCTTGAATTAGCCAAGTCTGTGATCCAAGAGGCAGTGGTGTGGCCGCTGTTGAGGCCAGACATCTTCACAGGACTGAGGAGGCCACCCAAAGGTATCCTGCTCTTTGGCCCTCCGGGCACTGGAAAAACATTGATTGGTTAGTTGTTTGGAAACTATCAGCAGTCTTTGAAGTTTTGACTTTTTAAAGCTTAGTCTTTTTTTTACAGAAGTAGAAATTGACCTGGTTATTGATTAATGGAGTCAACTAACCCATTACGAAGTCAGCTATTTCATGGTTTTTGGAATCCCTGATAATGTTGCCTTGCCTGTATTTTGAACATACTGATTTGTTTAATTGACCTTTTCAATATCATTGTAGCATGTACTTTACATAATTTATTTGTTAACATTTTGTTATGTGTATGTAATAGGGAGGCCTCCAGCAGTGGGCGTCATTTGCATGAATTGATGTGGTACTGAATGAAAATTTTTCTATTCTATTCCAACCTATTTTCCCGCCAGGCCGGTGCGTGGCGGCGCAGTGCCACGCGACATTCTTCAGCATCTCGGCGTCGTCGTTGACGTCCAAGTGGATCGGCGACGGCGAGAAAATGGTGCGCGCGCTCTTCGCCGTCGCTCGCACACACCAACCAGCTGTGAGTATTCTGTGACACTTACCAGTTTCATACCCTCTGGTTCAAGTTTATAGAAAACAATTTCTATTGCTACTTGTTCTTGCTTGTGATTTTCAGATTTCAGTTACCTGATGCAACTTTAGCCTAGGCACAGACCACCGACTAAAAGTTGGCCGATAGTTCGGCCCAATTCTAATTTGTATGAAGAATCACTCGGTGTAATGTGCGCATTTTCATACTTCTCCATACTGATTAACAGCCCGACTCAACTATCGGACAACTAAAAGTCGGTGGTCTGCGCCTAGACATTCCAATAGTCGCCATCTCAACTCAATTTCTTTCTACATACTTCTATTTTCAACTTGATTTGACTGAAATATTTCGACACAATGTAACAACAAATGGACTTTACTTTTTAAAATGAACTCCTCTGTTCCAGGTAATATTCATCGATGAAATAGATTCTCTACTCACACAAAGGAACGACACAGAACACGAGGCCACAAGGAGGATCAAGACTGAATTTTTAGTGCAGTTCGACGGTGCGGCGACAGGTAACCAGCATAATAAGTGACTAGAACCCTCATGTGGTCCTTCGACAATGAAACTAAAAAAACTCATAAAAACTCATTTATTTATGCAAGTAGGCTTTTTAAAAAGCACTTTTACACGTCTGCTTGAGGACAATAAATGGGCCAGTATTGAAAAGAAGCAGCGCAAGAAACTGTTCTTATGGTCTACAAATAGTAGACCAGCGTTGATTTTAACTTTGTGTAGGCGACGAGGAGCGGCTGCTGATCATCGGCGCCACCAACCGGCCTCACGAGCTGGACGAGGCCGCGCGCCGCCGCCTCGTCAAGCGCCTCTACATACCGCTACCGGAACACGACGTAAGCAGAGCTATCGTTTTAAATTATGGCTATTATGTTATTCTGATGAATATACAGTAATTATGTACTGTAATTTAAAAAAATCGTACAGTAGTTTTTGCATGAAACAGGAACAAACATGTATTATTGCTTCATAATATTTGGCTTTTTTTATGGAGTTTAAATTTTATCTAAATGATGTTTTATTAATACATACTCTATCCCAGTGTTTTTCAACCTTTTTCATGACGCGACCCCCCTAGCATGAAAAAATTTTTTGCGACCCCCCGACCGTTCGCTTTTTTTTTCATACCTTTTACCAAGACGTTGTAGGGACCGAATTCTTCAATTTATACAACATTTATGCGTTTGCATAATTAGATTTCGGATAAATTTAGCTTTTAAACTTCTCGGGCTCTATCCTAACAATGTCTTCCCAGGCTCGCAAGCAGATGATAGAAAATTTACTACAAAGCGAGCCACATGAGCTGAGCGACCCACAGCTGGGCGAGGTGGCGGCGCTGACAGCGGGCTTCTCGGGCGCCGACGTCAAGTCGTTATGCTCCGAGGCCGCCATGGGGCCCGTGCGCGCCGTCCCGCTCTCGCAGATCGCCACCATTCAGCGGGACAAGGTCGGACACGTTCAGTAACAACTACCTACTGCTTGCTAGTTTGTGGCAACACCTATGATCACCTATCAAAATGTTGCCTGTACAAATTATTCGTTTCGCTAATAAACTTTTATGCTCATTATTTAGCCCGCTCAAACACATTAATCTTAGTTAGATTTTCACCTGTAATTTCCAGGTGAGGCCAGTGAACATACAAGACTTCAAAAATGCGTTGCAGCGAGTTAGGCCAAGTGTGTCCCAAGATGATTTAGGGCAATATGTTAAATGGAACCAAACTTATGGCCAAGGATTTTAATAAATTATTGAAGTAAAGGAAATACGAACATGTTTTATTTTAAACATACGAACTTTAATGCGCGTGCAGCTCAGTTATTGGCGACAAACTGTAAAAGCAAAGCAAACGTACAAATGAAGTTTAAAAACTACATGGTTATCTAAATAATATGTTTAATATTCTATTCCCTTGCCTAAAAAAGGAAGAGCTGTCAAACCACCTCAGCTGATTGTCAATTTCATCTGTCTGTCAAAGCGTGATTGAAAAGCTTTTTTGGCGCTTGTATTGTACATTTATAAATCCATTTAAATATTGTAACATGTTGTAAAGTAATGAATTAAGATGACTAAGCTTTTATAAAAAACCTATAGATCTGAAGGAAACTTAGTAAACATAAGTACCTAATAATGGCGCAAGAGAACCGGGTTGTTGTGCTGATCGACATGGATTGTTTTTATTGCCAAGTAGAGGAGAAGCTGAATCCAGAGTTAGCAGGGAAACCTATAGCTGTTGTGCAGTATAACCCCTGGAAGGGTGGCGGGTAAGTCAATCTGAATATGCATTAATTTTGAGTAACCTTCCTAACCTAACTTTCTGTGTAGCAATACAAATATTTTTGTTCTGTATTTCGTTGAAAAAATACATATATTTTTTATTTATTGCTATTTACAGGATTATAGCGGTAAACTATGTGGCTAGAGCGATGGGAGTGACACGTCACATGAGGGGAGATGAGGCCAAGGAGAAATGTCCAGAAATTCAGCTCCCTTCAGTACCCTGCCAGAGAGGCAAAGCTGATATTTCGAAGTAAGTTCTCTGAAGTCCAGAATAAATGATATTACCAATTTACCAATAAAATATCTTAATTGAAATTTTGTCTAAAGTAAGATAACTTTTTATCAAGAATTATTACTAAAATTGCTGCAATTTTTTTAGGTATAGAGATGCTGGTAAAGACGTGGCTAAAGTATTACAGAAGTTTACTACTTTGCTGGAGAGGGCTTCTATAGATGAAGCCTATTTGGATATAACCGCTCCTGTAAGCAATTTCATTTTGTATTTGCATAAACATAACAACTAAAATCCTATTAACTTTGTTTTATACACCTGATTAACTCCTAAACTAAGTGCTTGTACTTATATTAAAAGATTATTGCAAAGGCTTATGTTCTTGACTCTTGTCTTACACATTCCAGGTACAAGAAAGGCTAAAAACTATTAATGTGAACTCTGTAACAACAGACCTTATCCCAAACACATACGCACTGGGGTATGACAGTGTGGACCAATTCATAGACGATATCCACAACTGTGGTTGTGACTCCATAGACTTTGACTATGAGCATGCAAAAGAGCTGCTAGTTGGGGCAATTATTGTGAGCGAGATTAGAGCAGCTGTGTATGAAGAAACTGGTAAGTAGGCTGTACATTATTTTTATATTATTTAAATGTTGATGTCAAGAACAATAATATCCACACTTTCTTAGGTTACAGATGTTCAGCTGGAATAGCACACAACAAAATCCTAGCAAAACTTGTGTGTGGAATGAACAAACCCAATAAACAAACCATTTTGCCTAAACATTCTGTGAATATGCTGTACAGGTAAATAAAGACTAATTTTTTTTTATGATCCTTTCCTTCTATTAGAATACTAGCTGACCCGGCGAACTTTGTTCCGCCTTAATGGCAATAAATAAGCAGACTTTTTTTTTAATTTCGAACGGGATAAAAAGTATCCTATGTCATTCTCCTGGCTCTAAACTACCTCCCTGACAATTTTCAGCTAAATCGGTTCAGCCGTTCTTGAGTTATAAGTGGAGTAACTAACACGACTTTCTTTTATATATACAGGGTGTTAGGTAAATGAGTATATGAGCCGACACTAGTCCATGTTAACATGGTTATATAAATGGTATGGTGAAGTCAGAAAATTGATATCTTCATTTTAATTATTTTAATTTTCATACAAATCGGATTTTATAAAATTTATTTTGTATGAAAATTAAAAAAAAATAAATGATGATATCAAATTTCTGACTTCACCATACCATTTATATGCCCATGTTAACATGGGCTAGTGTCGGCTCATATACCCATTTACCAAACACCCTGTAGATACGAATTACATTAATATTGTTATTATTTTCAGTACTTTATCAGTGAAGAAGGTAAAACACCTTGGGGGAAAATTTGGAGATACTGTTTGTGATCTTTTAAAAATAAAAAACATGATTGACCTACAAGTTTTCACTGAAAAAGATTTGCAGGCTAAGTTTGATGAAAAAAATGGGTAAATTTAATAGTTCTGTGAAATTGACTACTTAACCCTTTACCTACGGGCCCTTGGAAACCAAAGTCGCCTCTCAATACGGGGTATTTTAACCTTTATAATTGTTTGCTCCACTTTACATCAATATATTTAAAAAAGTGTGAGACTTACGGTATTGAAATTGGGAATATTATATTCTGCAACTAATGTTGTTTCATAATTATAAGCGCATTTTACACTTAATTTGCAATTTTATTGCTTTTTTGGCGTAAACCGTGATTTAGTATTGGCTTTGCCAAAATAACAATAGATGCCACCCGTATTAAAAAGTGACTTTTGACTTGGCAACTATAAGTGCCTCCCGTAGGTAAAAGGTTAACTTTATAATGCCACATGGAATCTATTGAAATGTTTTGTTCAACAGGACATGGCTCTACAATATAGCTAGAGGAATTGATTTAGAACCAGTACAGGCAAGATTCAACCCAAAAAGTATAGGTTGCTGTAAACAACTTAGAGGAAAGAGTGCTCTTGTGGATTTAGATAGCCTGAAAAAGTGGCTCACTGATCTGGGCGACGAAATTGAAGACCGACTAGAGAAGGATGCGCTGGAAAATAACAGAACACCAAAGCAGATGGTTGTGAGCTTCTCTACATCACTGCCTGATGGAAGAGATATCAGCAGTTCCAGATCATATAACTTTATAGCTGAAGATGAACTATGTGGAGAGCTGTTTACTAAAAAGGCATTGGAATTAGTTTTGGATACTACAGAGGGATTAAAGATAAAAGGTATTATTTAAAAAGATTTTATAAAGATAAAGCTTTGATGAAGATAAGATGATGATATGAATTAGTAAATGGTAATTTGTATCAAATAATTAACTTTCGGTGACTTTGTGTTTCAGATGCTGAGGGAAATCGACGATTAAAGGCGCCAATAAAATTTCTAGGAATTAGTGTGGGAAAATTTGAGGATAACACTGAAAGCAAAAAAACAAAACGAATAGTTGACTATTTTTGTGCTGGTCCATCTAAAGGAGATGCAGCCAAAACAAAGGAAAATGATAAGACCAATGATAAAGCTCAAACTGCTGATAAGAAACCAATAAACAAAAATGAAGGCAAAGAATATATTTTAAACAAATTTTTCCAAATCACCAATAAAACACTAAATAAAGAACCGACGGCACATGTTAATAAAAATGACGATAGTAAAGAAGTTGTTGTAGAATCAACCCTTGAGAAACAAGAATCGTTTTTTGCAAAGTTCCTTAATAAAAATACAACTCAATTTACTGAAGATCCTACACCCTCTGTAACTGAATCTGCTAAGAAAATTCCTCCACCAACTCCTGTTTGTGATGTAATCAACTGCGGCGATAATAGTAATGATACTGCATATTCAGGGTCCACAATAAATGAGGAAATCAACAAAAGTGTTGCTCTGTTTGAAGAAGATCCTGCTGATGTAGATCGCGTTAGTAATATGAGGCAACTACTAAATTCAACAATGATACCAGACGTTATGGAAACCAATGAAGTACCTGACAATGAAGAATCTCATGGTGATGATGCTACTGATATGAATACAGATACAGAGCCAAATAACCTAATAGATACAATAACTTGTTCAGAATGTGGTAAGACTATCGAAATGGATAAATTTGACACGCACGCTGATTACCATCTCGCGCTGAGGCTTAGAGATGAAGAGAGGCATCAAGTACGATTAGAAAGGAAAGAAAGATTTGCAGAGAAAACAGTATCACAAAACCCAGAATCTAAAACCAAAATACCTGTTACAGATCAGTCGAATGATAAAGTTGAACCAACATCTATAGCCAGCTTTCTTGTGAAGATTGATAATACAACTCCATCAGAAAGGTGTTCAGAGTGTGGTAAAAGAGTGCCTATAGAAAAAATATCAGAGCATTCAGATTTCCATGAAGCACAAAGATTAAGCAGAGAGCTTAATAAAAAACCCAACCCTATACAAATCACAGGGAGTGCTGTAAAAAGAAAAAGGAACTCTGCATCTCCAGTTAAAAAGCCTAAAGTACCATGTAAATCAATAGCATCTTTCTTTAGAAGCTCAGATTGATATTAAATTCACTAATGAACTAACACTGCATATCAATTGCTTTCCCCAATAATAATTTGCGTTAATTTACAAGACATTATGACTTTCGCCTAAAAGAAGTTTAAAGCAACAAAAATGAGATGTTGAACTAAATATTATACCTCCCATTAAACCCCCTATTCAATATGGCAGTGTTTTTCAACATTTTTCATGACACGACCCGGGGGGTCGTAGTAGTATAAAAAAAAATTTGGCGACCCCCCGACCGCTTCGCTTTTTTTTCATGAATATTATGTTGCAAAGATGTTTGTAGGAACCGAATACTTAAATCCATACAACATTTGCATAATTAGATTTCGGATTTGTCTTTATAAGAGCAATAGCTAACGGGACGCGCGGACCATGTTTTTGTATTTCTACGTTATCGCGCAGTAGACCCCTAGTCGAATAAAATTAGAATGGATGGAGTTCGTCTACTTTCAGAATCATTTCTTTTTGACCCTGGTTGTTTCTAGTTGTCAAATGTACCAATATCACTGAAACTGTTATTGATGGGAATGTTAAAAATAAAAGAAATGTAAAAGTTTAGTATAGTTTATTCAAGTTTACAAGTTGTGCAGTTCGACTTGCACCTTGCGCCAGGCGTCGAGCGGGCCGTGCTCGGGGCGGTACTTGACGTTGCAGCCGTCGTTGGCCAGGCGGCCCTCGTCCCGCAGATTCTCGTACTCCTCGCGGTCGTACTTCGTGAAGCCCCACCTCTTGGACACGTAGATCTATACAACAATAGACATTGGGTTAACTTTTGTGAATCATGATGATGAACAGCTGAAGCTTTGGCCCGTTTTCTGAATGATGAGCACGCTCACGCCAAAGACAAATTCAATCAATTCATCTTTGAGTTGAAGATGAGCATGCTCAAGCTGTAATTCTCAATTAAGATTCTTATTTGAATCTTTTGATTCTTGATAAATAGAATCATGAATAACACGTCGTCGCGGAATAATTAGTCAGCACGTTATGGGAAAAACCCTTGACATGTTTCTTAGTCACATCTAACTTGTATTACTATCCTACCTTCTGGCGACCAGGGAACTTGAACTTGGCACGACGCAGAGCCTCGATGACCTGCGCCTTCCAACGGTCGCTGGAGCGCACGGACATGATGGGCTGGCCGATGCGGACTCGCGCGACTGTGCCTTGGGGCTTGCCGAAAGCACCACGCATCCCAGTCTGGAGCCTAAAATGTGAGAAAAAAGGGCTTAATACACCTACTAGAAGCATTTATCCATTGAATAGGCAATTTGTGGAGAAACTGTTACAAAAATACAAAGTTTAGGTAGAAACTTTCATAATGTTTCATCATAATGACGATTGATGTTATTAAAATGGATTCTACTGCAATGACTGGATAAATTCAATTCCATCAAGATAAGAAACCAAAAACAGTCAAATTAACATTACATTGCCACTTCACTGTTGTTTTGATGAGTCAACCTAGCTAGATTGCACAACAAAACTTGTACCTTATCATACAGTAGAATGGCAATTTTTTGCAAATCATCACAGTGGTCTTTTTTTATGTGATTGCGGGCACATACAAGGCAAGTATTTGACCACAATTGCAGTTGCACCTGGTGTTAGGCGTTGTACCGACATTAATCTTTCAATTAATTACTTTTACTGATATGAACAATAACTAATTAATTGTTAATATTATCAGAATAGTAGTTAATTAGGTATGAATTTCAATTATTTACTTGGCAGTCTGGTAAAAGTATTACAGAATAACTGCAAACTAAAGATACAAATACTAAACAGAATAAAGTAAAGGGCAAGAAATAAAAATTTCTGGCATAAAAGATCATTACACAATTTGAGTGAATGTTCTTTCTTCTTTTCATCTAAATATAAATAATGTGCTTCTAGGTTATGCCTGGAGAAAATGCCTATTGGCAAATTGGTTGTTGATTGGTTGGCCGAATATGAAGTCACTTTTTGATAAACAATTCTGATCACTGTATATTAAAAAATAATTACTGATGCATACCTATCAGCTCCAGCGCACGATAACATTTTGTTGATGCGGATCACATGGAATGGATGCAACCTGATGCGGATGTGGAACTGGTCTTTGCCGCAGTTCTTCACGAGGTACTTGTTGCAGCAGATACGGCCGGCCTCCAGGGCCTCCGAGCTCAGCTGCTCGTACTCATCGGACACCAAGTGCACGCATAGCGGGAAGTCGTCTACTGCCGCCTTCTTCTTGCCCAAGTCGAAGATACGGATCTTGGGGTCGGGTACACCACGACAGAACCGTGATTTGGGGTATGGTTTGTTCTTACAGTACCGATAACTGAAATAGAAAGCAAGTTATATGTAAAGGGCCTTGAGAAATAGGAAATAAATGATTGAAAGTGAACAGAATGGAAGCCTACCATCTCGCTGGCCGGCGCCCCATTGTGAACTGAAATAAATAAAAAATATGATCTTAGTAACTAGCACACGATATTTCAGCACAAAACCACATGGAAATATAAATTAATTGTAAGGATTAAATTCGATTTTAAATAGTAAAAATATCTCAGCACCTTCACAAAGTGACACCTTGTCGCTGAAGAAAGAGACAAAAAACTATGACACTGACACAAGTGTTTGACATTTTTATTTTTTAAAACTGCAAATTTACGTACTTGTGCTTTGTATATTACTACTAAAAAATGCTACGTCTATAAACCAGACACAGGCATGAATCATGAATGTGACCATGACGACCATGACCATCACTGAGCAAAATATCACTTCGTTTTGACCATCACCATGTTTTAATAATGTGTAAGACATTGTAATGTATTGTGCTATTGTTATTTATTTTGCTCGGAGATGTGCTCGGAGCACCAACCGAAATCATAAAATACCAATAAAAGCAACTTAAAACTTTTTGTATCCTCGTCAAATGACTCTGTAAAGCTTTTTTGTACAATGACTGCGCAACTATACACGAAAAACCAACACTTATCGATATTTCAATTGATTAAGTAGCATCATTATTCACATGTGCACACTTCATTCGCCTTTGCTAGTGATCTATAAAAAAAATAATAGAGATTGTCACTGTCAGTGTCAAATCTGCTTGTCAATTCAGATTTTGTCTGTGTGCTGTGTTGTGTTTGCTTGTAAATTAATTTGCAAATTTCCCCAAAATATTCCAGATTTGTGGTGGAAATTAAAGAAGTGATGGGTGCCTTGACCAGCAGACAAAATGCTGGAGTAGAAGAAGCAGACGTGGTCTCTAATCACGCGTACAAATATCCTCCAAGATCGGGTTAGTATCTTTTTCTATTGGTAATTTTCCCTTCTTCGTGTTAAGTTATTTACTTACTTTGCTACTTATATTCATTATTAGTGAAGGTTAATGTATATAAACATTTGTTTGCATAGATATTACCATTAGTGGCATGTTGATTAAGTTTCCTCTTTTGTTAAAAAGATCCTTTTTTACAATTCCCTGTCCCACCCACTGTCTTTTAGGTAAATTTATATGATGAATATGATCCACTTGCCGAAGTTGACTTAGCTGAAGCTTAGCTTTTTGTAGACTAATGTAAATTGGATGATAATGATATAAAACAGCTGGTTAGTTAGAATATGAAGATGCATTACAGTAAAACCTGGCCATTAGCAGTAATAATTCTGTTTTCTTAAATAATTGTTTTAAGCTGTGAAAATTCCTTTTCAGACATAAAATATTTAATAAATACTGTTTCATTCTAAAAGGTGCTGCTAATAAGGTTTGCCTTGTTGTTAATAATATAGTTGTTTGTTTACAAGCAGGGAATTATTTTGGAAGTCATTTCATTATGGGCGGTGAAAGATTTGATACTCCTCAACCTGAGGCTTACTTATTTGGAGAAAATGCTGATCTCAACTTTCTTGGCAGCAGACCTACTCCAGTAAGTAAACAGGAATGTACAATATACACTTAATAACATTATCTAATCATACTAACACATTTAAAATTAACATTCAATGTTTACAGTTCCCATATCCACCACCTCAGTCTAATGAGCCCACAAAAACGTTGAAGAGTTCAATTAACATCCGGAAAGAATCTCTAAGATTTGTTCGTTGTCCTGAACCAGTGGGAAAGATAGCCGACTCAAATAAAATTGGAGATGGGCCATTGAAGTCCTTGGATAATCACGGGAAGGGGACATACTACAACATTGAATTTACATTTGACTGCGATGCAAGATGTGCTATAACTATATTCTATTTTTGCACCGAGGAAGTGACCCCAGCTGGAGTTGTGTATGTTTTGATTTCATTAATTACAAAAAGTTGTATTAATTACCATTCTTCAGATTTTTATTTTTCTTTGTAGTTACTACCCTCGCGATCCGTCCATGACGTCCCAGACGTACCACTACAAGAAGGGAGCCAACCAGCAGTTCTGCCAAATCTCCCATGTGTTTGATCCCTCAAAGTATCCCGAGGAGGACCTCTCGTACAATGCAGACCGGGAAATAATCCCCATTGCCATTTACTGTGTTGTTGATGAAGGACAAGATGGTAAGTGTTCATTAAAAAACCTTTGTTTAGATCTTATTTTCTTGAATTTTTATAACATAGAATTTTGCAAAAAGAATAACTGCCTTTCTCTTATGAACTTAAGTTAACTTACCTTATCTTGTTACAATTTGTTGAATGTGAATCTCATTCTTATAGAAATTCGCCAATCTCATACCACCATAGCAGTGGTGGAGAAGCACTCTGACGGCACTTATGTGTTGAAGGCCTTGAAACAGAAACTTTTTGTGGACGGTCTGTGTTACTTGCTTCAGGAAATCTATGGAATCGAAAACAAGAATCTTGACAGTAAGGTATAGTATCCTCATTTATAAGTAGGTATGACTCAATTTTAATCATCTTGCTAGGTAAAGGTACCATTTGAAGCTGCACAGCAGGAAACGTATCGTATGACGCAGCTGGTTTCTGTATTTCTATGAAATTACTTCCTTTTACTAGTGATAGAAGAAGATAGTGAATAGAAGAAGTTAGTGATAAGGTGCGTACGGTTTACGCGTATCCGGAACGCCTAGTCCATACCTGCAGCTACGTGTTCACTTGGGGTACGTGTACCAACTCGCAGCGCGAGCCACCGTCTGTCGGTTTTTGGTCGCGCGTCAAAGAGGACGCACGCGGCCGGCTACGCTATATTTGGACGGCAAAATGAATAAACACGCGTGTTCTTCGAGTTTCAATAATGAAAATACCGCTAAGTTTGTCGGAGTCATGGCGCTCGGGGCTCGCGAAGCGCTCTGGATCGATTGACCTCGCGTACAGGTTCGCGGCGGTCCGTACAGGAGCTGTGCGCGTATCCAATGTACGCGTGGACAGTGTTTTCCAACTACGCGTAACTCAGGATCGCGCAATCCGTACACACCTATAGAATATAGTCTCATTGAAATAAGGGAAACAGTAGCGTCGCGGCGATACGTCGCCTGCGGCTGCGTGTGTTCGGGCTTGAACCATAAGGGGATTTTGACAGCAAAAACTTATGTTTTCTTAGCCAACGTCTGACGAGGAGACCGAAGACGGCGGATCAGAGTGCGTGATCTGCATGTGCGACGTGCGCGACACGCTGATCCTGCCGTGCCGCCACCTGTGCCTGTGCAACTCGTGCGCCGACTCGCTGCGCTACCAGGCCAACAACTGCCCCATCTGCCGCGCGCCCTTCCGCGCCCTGCTTCAGATCCGCGCCCTGCAGCGCGTGGCGTCCTCGCCCGCCGTGCCGCCGCTCGCCGCCAGCCCGCCCGACGTGAGTGGAGCCCCTCGTAGCCAGGACCCGGCCGGCTGCTGCCCGTCCGCCGCGCCCTGCTTCAGATCCGCGCCCTGCAGCGCGTGGCGTCCTCGCCCGCCGTGCCGCTGCCCGCGGCTAGTCCACCTGACGTGAGTGGAGCCCCTTGTAGCCAGGACCCGGCCGGCTGCTGCCCGTCCGCCGCGCCCTGCTTCAGATCCGCGCCCTGCAGCGCGTGGCGTCCTCGCCCGCCGTGCCGCCGCCCGCAGCTAGTCCACCTGACGTGAGTGGAGCCCCTCGTAGCCAGGAGCCCGGCCAGCTGCTGCCCCGTCTGCATGCTGCAGATCCACGCCAACCATATGATGCGCCCTGTTTCTCGTCTTTCTTCCTCTCTCCTGATGTGAATAAAGTCCTAAGTAGCCTGGCCAACTGCTGCTCCATATGCCACGCGTTGCTTAATGTTTCCTTATCACCTGCCCGCCCGATGTAAGAGTGCTTTGTGATCCATTTGCGAGCACCATATTCAAGGACCGTTTTAGGATAGTTCGACAAAAAATACACAGCTATCGTATTTTAGCAGACTTGAGATATCGTCAATAATTTTCTTTTTAACTTTACTGTCAATAGTTCCACATTAAAAGCGTTCCCTTTCCACCCGCAGGGCAGCATGGAGAACATCCCGGCGGGCTACGAGCCGGTGTCGCTGCTGGAGGCGCTGAACGGGCCGCACCCCGCGCGCGCCCTGCCCGCGCCGCGGCCCGCGCCCGCCATCGCCAGCCCCGACACCGACACCGCCTCGCAGGTACTCGGCGTAACCTCGGGCTTCATCGGCTGTGATCGGCCATCATCGTCACCGCCTCGCAGGTACACGGCGTAACCCTCGGCCTTCGTCGGCTTTGATCGGCCATCATCGTCACCGCCTCGCAGGTACACAGCGTAACCTCGGGCTTCATCGGCTGTGATCGGCCATCATCGTCACCGCCTCGCAGGTACACGGCGTAACCTCGGGCTACGTCGGCTTTGATCGGCCATCATCGTCTCTGTGCTCAGCGCCCGCCATCGCCAGCCCCGACACCGACACCGCCTCGCAGGTACACAGCATAACCCTCGGGCTTCGTCGGCTTTGGTCGGCCATCATCGTCCCTGCCTTGCAAGTACACGCGCAACTCTGCTGAATCAGCGACGCGTCGACGATGCACGGGCGCTGGCAAGACGACGAAGCTCGCGCTCGAAAAATGCGGCGCGCGCCGCAGCTACTAATGCCGCGCTGCATTTCATAGAGTTTTGCAGTTTGCGGTCTGCGGCCCGTCTTGAAATTGTACCTTAAGTGAGAAGCTACACGGTGCCCCGCAAACATTTTGCCGCATCACTGTACCCATGTGGCATGCAGCGCCGCAATACGACACCGTCTCGTTCAATCGAAGTGCGGTGTGCCTGCAGTGCGGCGCCGGAACGCACCGTTTGGCATATCATTGATTTTTATATGCAAGACGCCACAGCGACAACGCTCCGGCGCCGCGCCCGCGACCGCACCGCACCTTGTGGCTTCTCCCTAAGCAATCGTTTAACCTTACCATTAGTAAATGACTTAGGGCTGAGTTCATGAACTGTCATTTCATGTTCTTTTGTCATGTCATGTCACGTTTCAATTCCCAAATGTTCGTTCGTTTACGCCGCCGATTAAATGTTCACTGTTCACCACGAATATTTTAATCGTGATGATTAAATCGGGCAATCATCTCAGGAATTAATGTAGAATCGTAAAAAAAGGCATCCTACAACAACTGGTAGTTGTAACATCATGCATCACTAATATGGTCTATTCTACTTTCATCACCTGGGTGATCAAATGGAATAGAGTTAAACTCCACCGTACACCAGCCGGCAGTGCTAACAGTAACCTATTGCGCAGGCGGCGGAGATCCTGAACCGCTGCAACCTGGAGCGCAGCTCGTCCACCAGCCTGGGCAGCAGCGGCAGCCGCAAGCGCTCCGCCTCCAAGGACGAGCCCAAGGCCCGCGAGCAGGCCGTCACTCCAGAGGTATACTTGTATATCCTGCTAACTTCACTAGCTTCGTATCGGAATGGATGACATTTCGCCGTTGAGTTCATTATGAACTTTATCATAATTTTGATTGAATAATATCTTCAAAAGGATTGATCAAATGTTCGTTTTCGTTGTGGCGTAGCATCTGGAACATAATTAAAGGGATTCTATCTACCGTAGTAGGTAGATTTCGTAATGTCTATAGCGACTGGCAGTTTGAGGCCAGTTAAAAAATTATAAAAAATGTTCTCCATCTGGTACCGATGAGTATAACTCACCACACAAGAACTTTTCTTATAATTGTTTTCCTTTTTTGAAAGCGATAAGTTAACGGAACCCCTAATGTTTGTGCAGTTCCGCATGTCGGTGCTGCTGGCGCGCGAGGAGGCCAAGGCGGAGGAGAAGGCGGCGCACTCGCCGCTGCTGTGCGCGCACAACGGGCTCGCCGACAAGCGCACCAAGGTCAGATTACGCGCACTTCATTACGCGGCTTAGATTTTTTTATACAAATGTTTTTTCCCGCTGACTCCCGGTCCTGTGAGAATTTTGCAATATCCTGTTGTAACTACGCTTTAAGTTTTCTAAGGTACCTGCCAAATTTCAAGCGTCTAACTTAAGAGGTTTAGATTTTTCATACAAAAGGTTTTTCCCGCTAATTCCCGTTCCCGTGGGAATTTCGGGAATTCCTTTCTTAGTGCACCTCTACGGTACCTAAGCTACGTCCCTTCTAAATTTCAAGTGCCTACGTTTAGCCGTTTAGGCTGTGCGTTGATATGTCAATGAGTCAGTTTCTCCTTTTATATATTTAGATTTTTGTTTGAGTTAGGTGGCTGTTTTACTTTCATGGTGTTTACATCACATCCCTAGCTCCAGGGAGCAGGGCGCACTCGCAGCTTGTGACACACATCAGTCGCCATATTTTTTAAACATTTGTAAAAACTGGAGTTTGGCACAATGATATTACATTGCGACCGGTTGCGCCGCGGGAAGCATCTGGATGCGGAAGGCTGGTCACTGTGTAAATCTTTGGGGGAGGCCTTTGTCCAGCAGTGGATGTCCTTTGAGTGAAATATCCCGAAGTAAAATGATTTTTTCGACTTCCAGTCGTCCCTGAGCCTCGACTACCCGCGTGAACCGGCGTCACAGTCGGCGTCCAACTCGGACGACGAGGGCTCGGTGCGCGCGCCCGCCGCGCCCGGGCCGGAGCCCGACGCCGCGCCCGACAGCGACGCCGAGCGCCTGTCGCCGCTGCTCACGCGGCCGCTCACCAACGGGGTGAGTGCCCGCGAGCGCACAGCAGCCGGCCTCCAGCTCGGAGCACGAGGCTCGCCGGGCCGGAGCCCGACGCCGCGCCCGACAGCGACGCCGAGCGCCTGTCGCCGCTGCTCACGCGGCCGCTCACCAACGGGGTGAGTGCCCGCGAGCGCACAGCAGCCGGCCTCCAGCTCGGAGCACGAGGCTCGCCGGGCCGGAGCCCGACGCCGCGCCCGACAGCGACGCCGAGCGCCTGTCGCCGCTGCTCACGCGGCCGCTCACCAACGGGGTGAGTGCCCGCGAGCGCACAGCAGCCGGCCTCCAGCTCGGAGCACGAGGAAAAAAAAATAAAACCGACTCCAAAAAACCTACACTAAAACGTAGAAAAATAATTACTAATTACCTACTTATTTGTTAGGACGAATTATTAATATTTATGTAGGTATACCATGATTGATACTTTTGGAGTCGGTGCAGGCATACTTTACATGTTTCATAATCTTGGCACCGACTCCAGAAGTATCAATCATGGTATACCTACATAAATATTAATAATTCGTCCTAACAAATAAGTAGGTAATTAGTAATTATTTTTCTACGTTTTAGTGTAGGTTTTTTGGAGTCGGTTTTATTTTTTTTTATAAAATTTTTGGTGGACACACTAGATTACAGGGGTTTCCTAACTTATTTGAGACGCGCCCCCTTTCGACACAAAAAATTCTGCGCCCCCCATCCTCCACTCCAGATTATTTATTGGTCGTATCAACAGTCTGGAATGAATTCTCTCACCGATCACAGGATTCACAGGTTTTATAGACTTAACTACGCAGATGGCCCGTGCCCCCCTTTAAAGGTCTTTGCACCTCCCCTCCTCCACTTTGGGAACCCCTGCTCTAGCTTCAATCAGCAGCGATTCTCAAGTGGGTAAATGGCAATGCCAGATTTTGTATGGAAAGTGGCGTCTTTTTTTTTTGCGCGGCCATCGACCAAACTTTGTTTTTTGATTACAAAATAGTGTAATAAACCAAACTTACTATGGCATGTATACCTCTAAACTCAGTCTGAACTGAGTTACGAGCATTAGAAGTTTGATGATTTTCATACAAGATTTGCTTTTTGTGCGCAAGTTTTCTAAGAAATTGCAACAAAATAGTGAGATTCATGTCGTAGTAAGTTTGGTTTATTACACTATTTTGTAATCAAAAAACAAAGTTTGGTCGATGCCCGCGCGAAAAAAAAAAGACGCCAATTTCCGGCAGTCTTTTATGAACCGAGACTTTTTTTATTGTAATCTTGGGGTTATTTATTTATTTATTTTATTTTATTCGGAAAACCAACAGCAATACAATACAAATAATGGGACCTTAAATTATGTATCTGCTTAGCCATTTATAGGTAATCGCAAATGGAATTACGTTACTTGCCTGAATACCCTGAACTCCTTGGGGGTTTTCATTGCTATAATGGATGCGACATTTGAGACATGGTCGGGTCTCCATAGTCTGAAATGTCACATGCCACATAGACTAAGAGCTAGTGAACGCCTACGTCATTTTATAAAAGCTGAAAGTTTGTCAGCGTATGCTCCCAATATAGGATATAATGTTGGTGAATTATGAAGTTTGGGTCATGGTGGTTTTGGGAGCTACCCTAAACAAACTGTCTGGCAAGGAGTTGGAACTCACTCTGACAAACTCTCAGCTTTTATAAAATGACGTAGGTCTGGCGTTCACTAGCTCTTAGTCTAACAGTAGTGTCCGACCGAATATGGATTTTCAGCCGAAAACGGAAACGAAAACGAAGCTTCGGCTGCAGTCTCATTTTCGGCCGAAAACGAAAACGAAAACGAAAATGACCTTCAACTCTCAAATTTCAATCTGAAATTATGTAAAAACTTTGAAAACCGTTAATGTTTTGACCAAAAACATAATGACGTTTGACAGTTGATTTTCAAAGATTGATTATAGAAAACCGGCATTAAAACACAAAAACATGAATCATGAATTCTTAGTAGAATATTATTTCCGGTGTATATTGAAATATTGGGAAGTGAAGAAGAAATAAAGGGTGTCCAGCCAGTGGGAATTTTTTAACTTCAAAAATGAATACTAATAAATTAATGATTTTTTATTATTTATTACTAATGCAAACTGGAGTTTAACAATGTGGATTAAATTTTTTATAGGCAATGTCTTTTAAATGATGCCCGTTTTACTATAGGCACTCTCACAGCCGGACCATTACATTCGCAACTATGCGAGAGCAAATCGCGCTAATAATTTTCCTGCAACTTCACGGCGGATATTTTCTTACAGAATCTGAATTATTTAAGGATTGTTTGCTGTAAACTTTTGACTTGAGATATCCCCACAAGAAAAAGTCGCATGGTGTGAGATCTGGTGACCGAGGCGGCTAGGGTATGTCCCTGTACTTGCTGATCATTTATTTGAAAAAAAAAGCACGCGTATTCTTGTGTATGATGGAAGATAATAAAGAAAATGGTGTACTAAATACTGTGCAGTATTTAACTGCCTAAATAATAATAAAAACACAGAATTTACTGTTTTAAGTTGCCTCAAGACACTGAGAGGTAAATAAGTAGTTATTATTCATGATAATTCATGCTAAATCATGTATTTCCTCCGCCATTTTCCGCAGTTTGGCACCTCACGTCACATCATTTTACCGAAGTCAGCCCTATAGCTTCGGCGCAGTGCCGATCACTGACGTTTGTCAACAAAATGGTGCTTGACTCTTGAGACAGGCTAAATTACACCATATTGTTAATGACATTGAGCATACATTTTTTTAAATACCTTCGCGAAGTAAATCTTCTGTACGTAGTACTTATTATTATTCTGTGGCCCTACTTAAAGCTCATTTCCGTAACCCAGCCGTGCGCGGGCTGCGGGGGCTGCGCGGGGTGCGCGGCGGGCGGCGCGCTGCGGCTGGCGGCGCCGGCGCTGGCGCACATCGACGACACCGACACCGACGAGCCCGACCACCACCACTGTACGTACCACGCTTATAACACGCTTGTCAAACTTCGCGGGTTATAGTCTGGTCTCTGAGCACGTAGAATTTTGTCCAATGACCCCAAGCTATCCATCCTTATCGCTCGCGCGTAATTATGCTGCTGTTGCGCTCGCACACTCACTGCGGGCGCCCGTCGCACTGTCGCGACAGCAACATAATTACGCGCGAGCGATAAGGATGGGTAGCTTGGGGTCATTAGACAAAGTTCTACGTGCTCAGAGACCGGGCTATAGAGAGAATTAAACCAATTTCACACCATGTAAGGGCCCTGAAAAGGGCAGTAATAAATACTTAATGAAGAATTTAAATCGTATGCGATATGAGTGATGCAGCATAGTCACCACTTCGGTGACGTTATCGTTGATTTTTGCTCAAGACTCTAATGTTTAATTCAGTAAAGACCAATCGAAAGTGATTCCATAGAGGTACCTAAAGGAACGAATCGGTTTAGATTGTTACAATAAAGAAGGCAGTGAGTCTAAAATAATAATTTCACCATCTCTATTGCAAAATTACCTATGTAAACTTATAATTTCTAAGAATCAAGTTCTGCTGAGCTTCATGTGAATTTTGTCTGGTTATGCAGTCTTCCGAAAACTAAGGAACATTGCAGTGTTCTAGCAGGGTTGCCCTGTGTCTAAGCTTGAATGTTGTATGTATAAACTTGTAAACGCTTTCCCTCTACGTCTTGGTCTTTTATGTCAGTCTAAATGTTCCTTATCGTCTTATACAAATTGTATTTATACGATTAAACCATTACTTTGTGGAATGTGTGACTGTGAGCATCCTCAGTCAAGAAAAATAAATATAATACATTGTTAATGAAATATTACTCATTCTAGTAGACACGTTTGCCTAACTTAGAATTAGATTCACCAATTGGGTTGCAAAAAATTAGCTTTAATAGAATGCTGAAAAAACTAAATTGATTTGCATTGTATAATATTTACTTTTCTGTCATTAACCATTCAATCATGAACGTAGTGTTTGAAATGAAGCCAGGGACAAATTTCTTGTGTCGTGTCGCGCCAGAAAGTCTAGATTCTAGAATAAACTTTACTTTAAAATTGATTTTATAAGTATTTATTTTATCTATAGTCTATAGAAAATAATATTATAACCTGAAGTAAATAAATCTATGACTTTATGGCACATCACGTCACGACCTACCGTGTAACAGAGGTGTGTCCTTCTTCTTCCTAATAAAATTTCCAGTACAGCTAGCTGAATAAAATATGAATGAAGGGCCTAAGAAAATAAAAACTGAACAATAATAAGGAGTTCCCTTTTCATTTATTTTAAAAGTGAAACAAAAGATGAAAAAAAAACCCAGACCAAGTTTTTTCAAGAAGTTTTGTCTATGGCACCTTCTCAACCCTGGAAGCGAGTAGGTACATTAGTAACGCCCCATCCCTCCAGCGGACGGCAGTCAATCCCGCGACGAGGCGGGGTCACCAGCGGTCGGCGAGGACTCGGACTATTTCACGCCCGAAGACACCACCACCACCATTCTGACGGTGCCCAGCGCCAAGTCCAAGATCGTAAGTCGCCTCGCCGCTCATCCGTGTGACGTCATCGGCTTGCGACATTTATTTGTTTTTATTTGCATTTCTTTTTAGTTTGTAGGTACGGAGCAGTGAGTATGTAGTGCGATTAGGCTTATAATGAGTTGGTGGAATAAATCTCAATCGCTTATTTGAGACTGTTTGCAATGCAGATATCAATCAATCAAATTGTTTTATTGTGACTTGAAAAAGCGTTGTTATTCAGCTTTTGTTTGCACTCTTTAGCTGGAGTGAGGAAAAGTCAAAGAAACGTGTATTATTAAAAAATTGTAAAAAATTTCAGTAATGAAATCAAAACAACAAATATGTCTATAATATTTCAGAATTTGGATGAATGAGTGTTATTTTTGTGTATTGGTAGAGTAAGAAAATGTTTCTTTGTGATCGTGTAAGTTGAAACCAATCGCAGCAAGGTCGTCGTCATCGTTTTAGACTTATTTTGTATTTGTTGTCGCTTCCGTTGTGTTTAATTTGCGCATTCATCTCATGTATTACTATTCATTTTGTGTTTGTGTTGTGTTGGGTGGTAGTGTGTTCATGTTTTGTGTAGAATGCATCATTCGCTGTTGGTTTAAGTATGTAGTTGTGACAGTGCTAAGTGTTGCAATCTGTTGCAGGAGCCAGCCAACAACGTGCCCGGGGAATGCACCCCGCAGCGCTGGGCGTTGCCGCATCACGTCACATCTCTTCCAGGTACCAGAGTAAATACAAATGAGTAGGTCATCTTCCTAGAAACGCACCGAGCTCGGTTTGTATGTGAGCGCGCCAATACGTATGCGGTGCGCACGCACACACTGACAAAATTCGGAGCAACTCACCGCTAAATTTTGTTAGTGTGTGCGTGCGCGCCGCATACGTATTGGCGCGCTCACATACAAACCGCGCTCGGGCTTTTCTATGAAGATGACCTACTCATTTGTATTTATTCTGCGAGAGGTACGAATGGTTTAAATAGTAACAATAGTACATAATATGCATTCTTAATTTTCACCAACATAATCGTTTTGCTATCGATATTTTAATTGACTTATCGATTGGCTAACAAATTAATGGTAACACTTGATTTCTCGAAAACCGTTCGAGGAAGAGGCGCATGGGTGGTGGGAAACTGCATCGTTCGTTCGTTTCAGCCAAATGACGTCCACTGCTGGACAAAGGCCTCCCCCAAGATTTTCCATAATGAACGGTCCTGTTCTACCCGTGATCTTTACCAGAAACTGCATACCTTCATGCAATTTTAGTCACGATTAGAGATGTGCCGCTGAGAAAGTTCTCGTTCCCGGCAATATTCCCAGTGAGAATATTCTCGAGAACCGAGAACGCTCCCGGGAATATTCTCAGTGTTCTCGACAGAATACATTTACATGATTTTTAAATCTTGTCCATGGTCATTTTGAGACCCACTTGTTGAGAGACTCTATTGAGGCCATCGAGCATTGTGCCTAGATCTTCCTGCTAAATCCGCTCCAGTCCAGAAGCTTGAAAACATCTTCTAGGGCGGTGGTGATGACGTCTCCCTGTCTCACCCCTCGCTGCAACTGGATAGGTTTCGGACTGTTACTATGGCGTGTTTGTACAAGCCTTTCAACACTTCAATGTATCGATAGTCAATTTGGCACAGTTGGAGAGACTGCAGCAAGTGCCCATAGTGCCTATGTCTCAATCGAATCGAAGGCTTTCTCATAGTTCACAAACGCAAAGTGGCTGATTATACTCCTTGATCTTCCGTATAATCTGCCGTAGCGTGTATTATTATGGTCTATGGCAGCGGTTTCCGAAAGGTGGTCCGCGGAACCCTGGGGTTCCGTGGAAAGGCCGCAAGGGTTCCGTAAAAAATATTATCCCACGTTTCGTGACCGACGTTGTTCGCTCGCACCGACTTGTTTACGCACAAGGAAGGGGCAGGGCGTGCGGGCGGAGTAGTACGGGGGTTCCGCTAGGAAAAGTATAATCAATTAGGGTTCCTTGGCAAAAAAAATTGGGAAACCCTGGTCTATGGTACTAAAGCCTTTTCAGAAACCGGCTTGTTCGGGGGGCTGAAAGTTGTCAAGCCAGCTAGCGTGACAATTCGTAATGACTATCAAAAACAGCTTATAGATATGGCTCAGAAGCGAAATGGGTCTATAATTCTTCAACAAGGTTTTGTCGCCTTTTTTGAAGAGGAGTATCACCATACTTCTTAGCCAAGGCCGTAGGCGTAATTCCCTTGAGGATGACGGAATCGAACAGCTTCTGAAAAGCCTTTAGTACCGGCGTTCCACCTGCTTTCAGAAGCTCAGCCGTGATTACGGTGTCTTGTTGTTTTTCAACTGTTTAAGAACCATTCTAATCTCGTACAGACTAAGTTCAATCTAGCTAGCACGTATTTTATATAAAAATGTGTCAAATGATCCGTCAGACAGGCTATACACAACTTATCCAGAAGTGGCGAAACAGGCCCTTACTAAGCGATTGTGAAATATGCCCTTAATGTCAAATGTAAAGAATAGTTTAAAAAACTAAAAACACGCTTTTAATTACTAACAGGAATCATCAGGACCCTGGACATCATCTAGCATTAAAGTGCTCGAAAAGACAAATCCAACGAACCCAAACTCGATGAGTTTCCGCCGTTTCGTTTAGGAGTTCCTATGGCCACCTCCTGACTCCATCATTAGGACCCTGGACATTATCTAGCACTTAAAGATATCGAAAAGACAAATCCAATGAACCCAAATTCGATGTGATTCCACCGTTTCGTTTAGGAGTTCCTTTGGCCACCTTCCAGTCTAGGGTTTCTGCTCGAGCTTTCTCGAACTCGAGAAAACTCGAGAAATTTGGCTTCATTCGAGACGAGAAAAAAATTACCGGAGCTCGAGAATTCTCGAGTTTCGATTTTGAAGCTTTAATATTCTTGAAAGCCTATTTTCTTAGACAAAAGTAAGTTTTTAATTATTGAATAGGTCAACGTTGCTTTAAGACTGGCCTAGTCTTTTCTTTTTTAACTGATTTGATTTGCAAGTCATGATCTCAATCGAAACTAAGTAATAAATAATGTTCACCAACGAGTATGCTATATTTATTATGTATGTTTAATCTGACTGATTTAAAGACTGAAAAATTTGTTAACTAGACAGTTACCTTACCTAACAGACGTTAGGTTAGGTACTCGTGCCTCCTCGTAAAGTTTATTTAAGTCGTTATGTGTAAGAAATTAAAAAAATTATTAAAAAGCATTTTTTTTTGTTCATTAAAAAAACTATTTATCGTAATTTTGCTATTTGGACTTGTGTTCTTTAGAAAACAAGTGATTCAATTGTAGCTCCAGATTTTTATTGATAATTATCCTTAAAGTACTGTAAAAATATTTGCAAAGAAACTACCTATGTATATTCAGCTGTAATACCTACCTAAATATCATAATTATTTCTAACTAGCTGACCCGGCGAACTCTGTTCCGCCTTAAAGGCAATAAATAAGCCATCGCATTTTTTCCTTATTTGCTCACCGTTTAGACCTACCCTGGACTACGAAAACATTTTACTTTATGACTTTTGTTATGATTATTAGTAAATATTAATTATGATAGAAGATTTTATTTTTTGTTTCTTTCCTCACTAAAATAAGTCGTACCTACTAAATTCTAATATTGATTGTTGTGCATAAAAGTAGGTATATTAGATTAAAAAAACCTGTTTTTATTAAATTTCAACCGATTTCAGCTGTTTTCATTAAAAGACTCGAGACCCGAGAAAACTCGAGACTTTGGCCTCGAGAATTCTCGAAACTCGAGAAAAAAAATAGGTCGAGAAATCAGAAACCCTATTCCAGTCCCATCATCAGACCAGCTGGTACCACAATATTGTATTGTCATCTAATCTGCATAAAGTTTCATGATGATACAAGACTTAGAAATGCATGTAATTCAGATTCTAAGATTCCATTCCATAGTTAGTTACATACACGACGACCTAATAAAAGCGTGTTAAAAACGAAAAAAATGATAGTTATGTTATTTAATTGCATGTAAAAAGAAATTTCTGTTATCTTACATAATATCATTAAAACGACATTTCACGACGAAAAAAATAAAATATAATAAAGGAACAGTTGCCGAGAATATTGCCGAGAAAGTTCCCGAGAATATTCTCGGGAACACTGAGAATATAGCCTTTCTCTGCAAATAGAGTGTATTGTTTAATATACACTTATCTGTCGACTTAATTTGAAACTATTTTACTTAAGAAAGTTTGTTTATTTCCATTTGATAAACATGATTCTCAACCTTTCTCACTTAGGAGAACGCCCCCGGGAGCGCTCCCGAGAATATTCTCAGTGAGGAGAGCGTTCTCGGGAACGGCACATCAATAGTCACGATGGAGTGTATCGTAAAAAATAGATTATTTGGTCGCATGATACAGGTGTCATAAAACGATGAATAAACCTGTAACTATCGATAAAACCCGGTCTGTGAGCACGTAGAACCCCAAGATACCTACCCTTATCGCTCGCGCGTAATTATATTGCTGCGGGCAGCAACTACTGCGGGCGCCCGTCGCACAGTCGCGGCGCCCGCAGTGAGTGTGCGACCGCAACAGCAATATAATTACGCGCAAGCAATAAGGATGGGTAGCTTGGGGTCACAAAATTCTACGTGCTCGCAGACTATAGACGTGATCATGACTTATGAAACCAATTGTTTTCCAGGCACCCCCCTGAGCCAGTCGAGCGTGCGGTCGTCGGGCGACTCGTACAGCTCGACGTCGTCCACGCGGCAGCTGCTGGCGCCCGTCGGGGCCCCGCTGGCCGCCGACACGGCCTGCTAGCGCCGCGCCCCTCCCGCGCGCCCCTCCTCGGGTGCCCCCCCTACGGCCCGCCCGCCGCTAGTGCGAAACAACGTCGCCTACCGCATTCCACCGTATTAGTGTAGCGTATAAACAGGGGGCCTAGTGTGAGTTTTAATGACATTAAGAGTAGGCGCACACCGTTGATTTTTGGTTGGCCGATAGTTGTGCCCGATTTTAATTTGTATGAGGAATCGACCAAATCGAATCGGCGTAGTGTGCGCACTCCCATACATGCCCATACTGATCAACTGCCCGACTAAACTATCGACCGACGAAAAATCAACGGTGTGCGCCTACTCTAAATGTATGACGGATTGTGCAGCGCCCCTAGCGGGAAACGTTCAAAAAACTAAAATTTTCATACATTTTTAAACGTGCACTAGTGAGCGCGTTTGATGTGAACTCACACTCAGCCCACAGACCTCTATGCTATTACGAGTAGATAAGCTATTCAGAAAAATGTGTCGAATCACCTTTATGTGCATGGCAATGACGTTTTGACGGTTTTAATAGTCGGACGGTGTGACCCCACGCCGCAGCTCGGCCGCCTCTAGTACGCAACAACGTCCGCATTCCGCCGAACTAGTGTAGCGTATAAACAGACCTCTATCAGAGTAAATACAAATGAGTAGGTCGTCTTCATAGAAACGCCCGAGCGCGGTTTGTATGTGAGCGCGCCAATACGTATGCGACGCGCACACACACACTGACAAAACTTAGCGTGGAATAGCGGAGTTGCGCCGAATTTTGTCAGGCGCGCGTTCACATACAAACCGCGCTCGGTGCGTTTCTATGAAGATGGCCTACTCATTTGTATTTACTCTGCCTCTATGTTATTACAAGTAGATAAGCTATTCAAAAAAATGGGTCGAATCACCATAATGTGCACGGAAATGACGATTTTATAATATTCGGACGGTGTGAGTCGCCGCTGCGATCTGCGCGCGCCAGCCGCTAGTAAGCAAAAACGTCGCCTACTACATTTCGCTGTACTAATGTAGCGTAACAGCGTAAACAGACATTTATGCTAGATAAGCTGTTCAGAAATAATTGTTACAGCGCGGATTAACAAAAAAACTGTTTCAAAAACCACTATGTGCACGTAAATGAGATTTTTGTCGGTTTCATAATGACGACGTGCGTCCCGTTTGGTCGCAGTCAACTAGCTGTTCTTAAATGTGAGCTATTTTGAAGATTTGTCCAGACAGCCTAATCTACATTTGATAAGTGCCACAGACATAATCTAGGTTCGACTGTCTAGTAAAAGTATTTGGTAACTAAAAACAATATTCACACCCTAGCTATGTACAAATCAGATTGAATGTCCGTCTACGCTCGCCTGACTTCATAACGCGCGCAAATATTCCAGCTAAATGCTTTCGTGAAGGAAGGTTATATTCGCTTGCAATCGCGTGTAAATTAATGAGGCTTGTTGATAGATAATTAGGTCTGCGTGTTAGTATATGGCGTTTTTTTAAAATCGATTAAAGGTTCAGTCAAACCAACGCGATCAGCCGGCGTGCAGCGATGGCAATCAATGCATTTAGTCTGATTCGTTGCACGCCGGCTGCGCGTTAGTTTGACCGAATCTTAATATTATGCGTTATTATTTTATTTTTGGAGTATTTATTGATCAGTCCAATCGGGACAGTGCGATGTTTTGAATTAGTTAACAGTTCACACTTTGCCACGTTCTTTGACTGTTTCACACTTAAAATAAATTCATTCCTTTAAATCAAATTGTAGCAACTAATCTGGTCCCGACATAATATCCCCCATATTATGTTTCTTTATTTATATATTTTAATGTGTACTTGTTGAAATGTATCATCAAGTTTGAAATGTGTAGCCAAACTTTTGTTGCATTTTTTTAATACACTATTTTGTTTTATAAATAAACAACTCTATTTTGATATTAATTTGCTCATATCAAAAAGTATTACGCTGATCTGAAAGTAGTCCTTTAGCACTAAGGTCAATTTATGACTAGTAGGTATTTTAGTATAATAAATTCATTTCATTTAATCTCATTTTTAAATAAAGTTTAGTCGGTATCCACATCTGCTCAATGTCTTTATCACCCCTACTGAGCATTTTATTGCATAGGCTTGATTATTGTCTTAATTGTTGAATTTAGTTTAGTACCTAAGTATGTATGTAAAAAATTACAAATGAAATTGGTGGTGGATGTAGGCACTTCGCGGTCAATTTGTTTTTCAATTATTTGTGATCATTTGTCATGCGCCGCATGTCGACGTATCTACTACCATGTAAGCTAAAAAATTAATAAGAAATCCAATACTGCCTGTAATTGTATGTATTTTTAGAACACCAATCTTTTTATGGTAATGGAAAATAGTTATGCATTTAAATGTAATTTGTAGTAATACTGCTCTTACAATAATAGATCAAATGTGATATTTTAAAAATTAAAATTTTGTAATTCATTATTAATAAGCTAAGATTTTTTTCAACTGTGGATATTTGTTGTAAAAAAAGGTTAGATTTATTTATTATTTTATATAAATTAAAAGAATTTTATTTTATTTAGGTGATGTTTATTATTCAACTCATGTGACACTAATGTTTTGACTGTCGATGCAGTCTTCAACTTGTTTAGAATCGCATCTAGTAATGTATAAAATATATTCACTATGACTACAATATCTCTTTTCTTAAAGATTAAGTTGCAATCCCTTCCATGTGGGATTGACCAACTAAATCTGGCTATATACTTCTATATTATTTACCATCAGTACTATAATGGAATTTTGCAATATTTCATTATGATACTGATAGTAAGTTCAAAAGTACATGCTGCAGTTAGTAACAAGTAAATAAATCTTAGTTATTAGGACACACATTTAACAAAGTAAAATAAGAAACAAATCCAATAGTATACATAATAATAAAACTATACAATATTTTTTCTAAATGTATAAGTACAAATTAATGTATTTCATTCATACCTACATTACTTGACATAAATGAGATTAAAATAGCCACTACTACAAAAACAGATGTTCTACTGTAATTTCTATAGCACAGAAGACACATCTACAGATAGCAATTAAATGACTATACTTTGAACTTTTTAAATGTGTTCCTATCGATTTTTTTTGTAAATCATACTATTACCATGAATTCAATTACATTTTTTGAAGATAATAACAAATTAATATACTTTATAAAACTAATTTCAAGAAGAAATAAAATGACATTATTATACACATTATTAATACATTATTGCATATAAAAGCATTACTTTCATTTTAAAAGATAGCATAACAAATGTTATTTTTCAACTTTGGTTAGACTTTGCTGCAAAAGCATTGTCAGTATTTCCATTATTGATAGGTAGATTATGTTTCTGTGCTTGTAAGATCATGTTTCTCTTGGCGGAGTACGCTTGCATCCGCGCCAGGCGCACCTTCCTCTGCTGAGGAGTTTCCTGCGCCAACCGCCGGGCGGCGTAAGCAGACATCTTTGCCAGCCGAATGGCCCTCTGCTGACTGGTCTCCTGGGCAAGTTTACGTGCTGAATATTCCGACATTCGTTTAAGTCTAGCCGCCCGTTGCTCAGGAGTCTCCTTAGCAAGTTTTTTAGCTGCGTACGCTGACATTTTAGCCAGTCGAATCTTCCTCTCTTCTGGACTTTCAACCTTAGGTCCTGACCCTCTCCGCTGCCTGCGGGACTCACAAACTACTAACAATGGGTCCAGTTCTTGCATCATTGATTCCATTTCTGGTGCCTGGCTGTAACTGCCATGTTCTGGTTTTACAGGAGTAAAACTAGAAAAGTTTGCAATGTGGTCTCCATCCGAACTAGTATTCGAAGTGTTCACAGAGTCATCGATGTCGCACTGCTCTTGTTTAATGGTAGATACCCATTCATTGTTTGCTTTAGCTAAAACAATCTTTTTCCAGGAACAATCTGATGAATTATTGTCACCCATATTGATTGTTCATTGACTGAGATATCCATAAAACCATATTACGATGAGAAATGATGAATTATATACTTTGTAGTCACTGAGGTAGTTTTCATTGTATTTAAGCTCAACAAATCCCTAAAATAAATAAACTCCATGAAATGTTGAAGAACAAACAACAAATACTTCATTCATTCATTAAATAATGACAGTTGACAGCTATTAATAAAACGTTTCTTGGCTTGCGTTCATTCATTCCATTCGGTCGCGCCAAGGAAAAGAAAGGTGTTTGGTGCCGGTTGATGGGCACCATAAAACATCTTGTATCAGTGACTTCTGTAGAGATTCTACGAAAATATAACTCGCACTAAGTTTGATAACGAAGTTTATTTATAAGCTTAGACACAGATACATTTTTACTTGCACAATTATTTATAATTGGCGGGCGAGTTTTATAGTACGAAGTGTCATCTAGCGGCAGCCTCACCAGACCGTTTTTTATGTTGGTAAGCGAAAGCAGTGTTGCCAACCACACGATGACATTTCGCTACACCACCCCCCCACGGAGTAAAAAGGAGAATAAAATTATAAGTATTTAGGTACATCTAAATTACAATTATGTTTAACAATAATAATGTAAAGGAGTAGTGTTCATACAAATAAAATAAGTGTACTTAAAAAAAAAACAAAATGTTAACCTACTTACACATCACAACTCGTGAGAAAAAAGAAAACCAAAGGAAAAACAACACATTTAAACTATGTTACATACATTTGAAAATAAGATATCCTTTGTTTTTATGAATTTGAATTTACTACAAAATTATAATAAAAGCTTATTTACAAATCTAAAATAGTCTTAAATCTAACCTTTCGACCAGATCGAGTGGTTATGGGTTGCTGGGGCAATGTATCTACAGGGCTAGGAGGTTGCATAGATACTGAAGGTTTATTAGGGATAGGGGTGGTGGGTTTAGGAAGGCTAGAGTTAAAATCGGATGCAATATACGCAGGCTTAGTACGATCGATGCTAACTTCTTGTTCTTTGCCAGATACGTCAATGGTAATGGTTTTGTTATTCCGTTTTAATACCTTAAAGGGTCCAGTGTATGGCGGTTGAAGAGATCGACGTACTGTGTCATCCCGTAGAAAAATATGAGTAGATTTTTCTAAATCTTTGAAAACAAAAGTCCTAGGATTTGAGTGTCGAGTCGCGGGAGTGGGACGTATTGCTGCCATGATTGACCGCAGACTAGCGATAAACTCCTCTGAGGTTTCCTTAGATGAGCAATCGGAAATCAAGAGTTCTCCTGGAAGACGCAATGGTTCTCCATACACAAGCTCAGCTGAAGAACATTCTAAATCTTCCTTGAGAGCCGAACGTATCCCTAATAGAACCAAAGGCAGGGCACGATACCAAGATTCTTGGTGGCACATAAGAGCTGCTTTTAACTGTCGATGAAGTCGTTCCACCATACCATTCGCTTGGGGATGATAGCTGGTGGTTCTTATGCGTTTAGTGGCAGTTATAGACATCAGTTTGCTGAAAAGCGCCGATTCGAACTGCCGGCCTTGGTCTGTGGTGATGGTTTCCGGTACGCCAAATCGAGCAATCCACCCGTGGATGAGCCGTTCAGACACTTCTTCAGCAGTGATACCGAACATTGGAAAAACCTCAGGCCAACGTGAAAATCTATCTATTGCTGTGAGGCAGTAAGAATATCCATTAGAAACTGGCATAGGCCCTATAATATCAATATGGATGTGTCGAAACCTTGCCGTTGGCGTGGAAAACGATTCCAGGGGAGAGAAAACATGGCGGGTAACTTTGCATTTTTGACATGCCAGGCATTCTCTTGACCATTGCCGACAGTCTTTGTTCATCCCAGGCCATACGTAACGTTCCGAAACCAGCCGTGCGGTAGCAGAAGTACCCGGATGACTGAGGTTGTGGAGGTGGTTAAAAGTTGCTCGACGAAATGAAGATGTCAGGAAAGGTCGGGGTTTGCCAGTAGACATGTCACAATAAATTTTAGTGTTGGTTCCTGGAACTGCTACTTTAGATAATTTCAGGCTCGTTCCACTTTGAAGTAAATTAGCTAGCTCAGCATCGGATTCTTGGGATTTTTCTAAAGATTCAAAATCCTGCCCTAGAGCAATGGCGTCAACACGGGATAAAGCATCCGCTACCACATTATCCTGACCCTTGACATATTGAATATCGGTAGTAAACTGAGCTATAAAAGATAACTGGTTTAATTGTGGAGGCGGAAGTTTTTCTCGGCGTTGAGTGAAGGCAAAGAGCAAAGGTTTGTGATCCGTATACACTGTTGCATGTTGGACTTCTAGAATATGTCGAAAATGTTGTACACTTTCGTNTGGGACTGCTACTTTAGATAATTTCAGGCTCGATCCACTTTGAAGTAAATTAGCTAGCTCAGCATCGGATTCTTGGGATTTTTCTAAAGATTCAAAATCCTGCCCTAGCGCAATGGCGTCAACACGGGATAAAGCATCCGCTACCACATTATCCTGACCCTTGACATATTGAATATCAGTAGTAAACTGAGCTATAAAAGATAATTGGTTTAATTGTGGAGGCGGAAGTTTTTCTCGGCGTTGAGTGAAGGCATAGAGCAAAGGTTTGTGATCCGTATACACTGTTGCATGCTGAACTTCTAGAATATGTCGAAAATGTTGAACACTTTCGTATACCGCTAGGAGCTCTCTATAGTAAGCTGGTAATGCAGCCTGTTTGGGAGTCAGTTTTTTGCTGAAGAAGGCTAAAGGTTGCCATTCTCTATTGACCTTTTGTTGAAGACAGGCACCAACGTGGGAGCTTGAAGCATCTGTAAAAAGGCCCAATGATGCCTCTTGATGGGGATGGGCTAAAAGAGCGACAGAAGACAAACTTTTTTTACACGCTTCAAAATGTTGTAACAATTCCGATGACCATATAAATGGCTTCGCACCTTTTCCACCAATAGCTGTCAGCGCATCAATAAGGGGTGCTTGATGCTGGGCTGCATTGGGCAAAAATCTTCGGTAAAAATTAATCATCCCTAGAAACCGTCGCAGGCCCTGCACCGTCTTTGGAGGTGGAAAATCAACGAGGTCCTTGATACGGTTCTCTGGGGGAAGAGTACCCTCTGCATTAATTGTGTAGCCCAAGAAAGTAACTTGCTTCTTTCCCAAAACACATTTTGTTGGATTTATCACCATCCCATAATCATGAAGCCTTTGAAAAAGTATTCTGAGATGTTCTTTGTGTTCCGACATGCTCTTTGAAAAGATGAGAATGTCATCAACATATGCAAAACAAAAGTTCAAACCACGCACCACCTCATCTACGAACCTTTGGAAGGTTTGTGCCGCATTCCTAAGTCCAAAGCTCATGAGAGGGAACTCGTAAAGGCCAAATGGAGTTGCAATAGCTGTTTTGCACACGTCGTCTGGGTGGACAGGAATCTGATGATAAGCTTTCGCTAAATCCACGGTACTAAAAATAGTTGATCCAGCCAAATTATGGCTGAAATCCCCTATGTGCTTTACGGGATAAGAATCAGGAATGGTGCGCGCATTTAGGGCGCGATAATCCCCACACGGACGCCATGATGAGTCCTTTTTGGGTGCCAAATGCAATGGTGAGGCCCAAGGACTATTAGAAGGGCGTGCAATTCCACACTTAACCATTTCTTCAAATTCTTTCTTAGCAACTAAAAGTTTCTGAGGAGCTAAACGTCGGGGACGACAGCTAACCGGAGGACCTTCGGTTGTCAAAATATGGTGGNCACCGATAGCTGTCAGCGCATCAATAAGGGGTGCTTGATGCTGGGCTGCGTTAGGTAAAAATCTTCGATAAAAATTAATCATCCCTAGAAACCGTCGCAAGCCTTGCACCGTCTTTGGAGGTGGAAAATCAACGAGGTCTTTGATACGGTTCTCTGGGGGAAGAGTACCCTCTGCATTTATTGTGTAGCCCAAGAAAGTAACTTGCTTCTTTCCCAAAACACATTTTGTTGGATTTATCACCATCCCATAATCATGAAGCCTCTGAAAAAGTATTCTAAGATGTTCCTTGTGCTCCGACATACTCTTTGAAAAGATTAGAATGTCATCAACATACGCAAAACAAAAGTTCAAACCACGCACAACCTCATCAACGAACCTTTGGAAGGTTTGTGCCGCGTTCCTAAGTCCAAAACTCATGAGAGGGAACTCGTACAGGCCAAATGGAGTTGCAATGGCTGTTTTGCACACGTCGTCTGGGTGGACAGGAATTTGATGATATGCCTTTGCTAAATCCACTGTACTAAAAATAGTTGATCCAGCCAAATTATGGCTGAAATCCCCTATGTGCTTTACGGGATAAGAGTCAGGAATAGTGCGAGCATTTAGGGCGCGATAATCCCCACACGGGCGCCATGATGAGTCCTTTTTGGGTGCCAAATGCAATGGTGAGGCCCAGGGACTATTAGAAGGGCGTGCAATTCCACACTTAACCATTTCTTCAAATTCTTTCTTTGCAACTAAAAGTTTCTGAGGAGCTAGACGACGGGGACGACAGCTGACCGGAGGACCTTCGGTTGTCAAAATATGGTGTACCGTGTTGTGTTTTACCTGTGTTGGGAGACCTGGAGGACGAGTGAGGTCTGGAAATTCCCGTAAGAGATCCGCGAAAGGAGAGTCGTTTTGAAAAATAGCTTTGACACTTTGCTGATGATGAGACGAGACGCTTGCTGGCGATGTCAGCCCTGTACTACCGTCTCTCAGAAGTTTATGTCGACAATCAGGTAAAAGGTTATAATAAGCTAAGAAATCAGATCCCACGATTGCCATATCTACATCTGCAATAACGAAATTCCACTTAAAATCACGTCTTAGTCCGAAATTGAGAATTAACGTGCGACAACCATAAGTATTAATTGAAGAGCCATTAGCTGCACTTAGCTGAAACCCTGTGGGTTTGTGGTGAATCTTCAAGAATTTTTTTGGAAATATACACAGATCAGATCCTGTATCGAGCAAAAACTGTACCTTGCTATTTTTATCCGTGATGAAAAGACGGCGACTAGTATAACTGCAATCAGATGTCGCCATCACTGATTGCCGTCTTGATTTCCCGAAGAGGTCCAGGAACACGGTTCTATACATTTCTTAGCCTTCGGTCCGAAACGG